GACAATGAATGCCTTCCATCTTGAAGTGATGGTAACGGAGAAATTCGTTGAGGCGTTTGAGATTTATGACCGGTCGAACTCCTCCGCCCTTCTCGGCAACAAGGAACAAATTGCTTAGGAACCCTGGGTGCTCGTACGGGATTTCTTGTATTGCCTGTTTGGCAAGTTCCGCGATTTCCGCTGTAATCAACCCGGTAATCTCCGTTCCTGTGGTATACATGTCTGGATAGGGTGGGACAACAGATCTAGATGGAAACCCCTGACCGTATTTAAAACCCACACATCTGTGGTGATCATGCCCCACATATCGATAAACAGCGCTAGCCTGCCCCCCACGCTTGCACGGGAAAAAAACACATTTGGGGGTATTTACCGTAAGGGCGTCTGTACGAGGGTTGACCATGTCCTCCTCGATTCTGCCACGGTCTCCTGCATGAGGGAAAGAAGGGAGCGGGCTTGTATTCCTGGTAGGCCCAAGGGGCAGCAAAGGAACCTCTGTGAGTCCGTGAGGGACCTCGAGCTCCACGGCCGGGCGGACAGCTCCTATACCTCCCGGCCCCTTGGAAAACCTTTGGTCCAAAAACACGTTTCAAGTTGGACTGGGCCTTATCTAGGGCGGTGAAGGTGCACACAAAGGAGCCCAAGTCCTTAACAAAGGACTCACCGAAGAGCATGCCTTTGGCGGCAGCACCCGGTTCTTTCACCGCTAGGTTTACCAATTTTGGCTCAATCTTAAGCTGAGGGCCTTGGGCATTCAGCCCGTAATTTACTGCGCACCTCCTTGGACAGAGGAGTGCGCATACGTAGAGCTAGATAGCTAGCTATGTGCTTGGGCGGGTCCCATTCCGCCCAGCGAGGATGGCGAAGGTCATCAGGATCGAACAGGGGGTAACCCTGCGGATCACATATGCCTTGCCCCCCACCCGGAGGTAGTGCCGAAGCATCAGACCCCGCCTCAGCGTCGGAGCCCCCTTCCTCATAAGAGGCGTAATCAGGGGCGTCCGAGTCCGTCTCCCCACTCAGATCGAAATCTGATCCTTCATTAACATGGGCACGCACCCTTTTCCACTTTCTGGACGATTTTGCCCGGCCAGTGGCTCTTTGCGCGGTAACACGCCATCTTGGACGGCCATAGGCACGTCAGTCAGGGCAGATAAAACCTGCGTCACATCAGACGTTGTTTTAGCATGCGCCTTGTGGCTCACCTGAGGCTGTAGCGCAGGCTGGGCATCATAGAAGGGGCCAGGGATTGAATCAATGCCTGCTGAATGGTATGAGACAGGGACTAAGACACCAGGGCCCTCTGCATGGTGGAATCAATGAGGGCCTTGAACTCCTGAGAGGGAGTGAGGCCAATCTCCCCAGTGATAGGGGTTTGCATGGGATCCATAATGGGGTAACTGGGGCTGTCAGTCCCCTCACCTCTAGCCTGCATAATAGGGCAGGGAGAGAAACCCAAGACCAGGATAAAATATATACTATAAATATCTCCACAATGGAAGATGCCGGGGCAACTATAAAGGATTCCAATAGTAATATTAATAGAAGAAAAAGGGGGGCTTGATTACACTTAAACCAAATAGGGGTTGATTAACCCACTGAGAATACCTGAAAAGGAACAAAAATTGAAGGGGAGAGGTAAAGGGAGCCGACCCATCGAGCAGTCCCAGCCACGTGCATGCAGGTAATGAGAAAATGGCCGCCGTGTGCAGAGCACGCCATGGGTTACACAGAGCTCCTCCCCCGCCAATGGCCGGGGAGCACGTGGCAAACACGCGGCCGGGAACTCCCTCGCACCAGTGGGTGCGAGGAGAGACTGATCGGGCCGGCAGATAACGCTGCCGGAGAGGGAGATGGAGGGACGACCAGGGAGCAATGAAGCTCCAGGAGGAATCTTCCCCTGGTAGCCGCGGATCCCGGCCTGTGCTATCAGATGTACAGCACAGGCAGGGAAACCGGGCACAGAGCACAGGGGAAGAAAATACAAAATACAATTAAATAAAAGACAAACACAAAAGGACCATAAGCACAAATAGAATATCAAATCAGTAAATGTAAACAAGGTAAACAACCCTGATAGCCTTAATACAGATCAAATATACAGGAGGTAAAAATTATACTTGGCTGGTCTGAGGACAGCAGCAAAGAAAGAGGAAGTGGAAGTACACAGCAAGACATTTATGGACTGTTCCGATAAGCTGATTGGCTGCCCTGTTACTAGGCAGACCTGGTTGTATCTGTTATATATTATTCATATTACATATTTTCTCTTTCAGTTATATTTTCTCTTTGCTGCTGAGGAATAAAGTAAGAAAAAGATAGCATAATAGGAGCTTCTGTGTCATTAATAATCTGGCAACCTTCCGAGGAACTGTGGGTGGTCTGAGAAGCACTACCAGGGATATTGGAGATATGTTCTGCATCCTGTCACACCTAACTGTCAATATAATCTCTTGCCATTAAAGTACATATGGCAACTTACCATGACAAAAAGGATGACATTCCATCTTCTAGGAGACATTAAGTACATCTTGAAAGATATTGGCTTTTGGCAGCAGAGACTGCAGCAGTGAAAGTGGAGTAACTGAGGAGGATGTTGTAGACTTTGGTCAATGTATGATTTTCACAAGGGAAACTATTCAGCAACATATATCTCTCGTACAGAGGGGACTTACCAGCTTTTCTAATGTTGTAATGCATTAACTTAGACTCTCGCCACTGTGCCTAAAGAGGTATTAGCTACAACTCGCTGACAAGGCCCAAGGAAGGCAAAGACAATCGTCCAGGTTTCATGCAGAGGGGACTTGCCAGCATATCAGATTTGGACTGCCCTTATGGATGGCATCAGTCTGATATACAAATGGTATAGGTTCTCTCTGTGGCTGCCGACTCAAATGGCATGTAGCCTGACGGCACCCATAAGATTTGAGGACAATGATGAAATAATATATGGAAATGAGCTAAACAGATTAACACAATTAATAAAATTAACAGGGAATGATTTTGCAGACACCAAAATGTTGAAGATATTTTAAATTTTCTTGTAAAATTTGAAAGTGCATATAGACTTGTTGCTAATTTTCCTGAAGATCAGTTAATTGATGAATGTGTAAAAAAGTCTCGCGAGTATAACAGTACCCCCATGTACAGGTTTTATAGTGTTTTTGAAAGTTACAGGGTCAAATATAAGGGTCAATTTTTTTACATTGAAAATGGCCAGGTTGGTTATGTTGCCTTTGAGAGCGCATGGTAGCCCAGGAATGAGAATTACCTCCATGATGGCTACCATTTGCAAAAGAAGACAACCCAAGGTATTGCAAATGGTGTATGTTCAGTCTTTTTTAGTAGCCACTTAGTCACAAACACTGGCCAAATTTAGTGTTCACAATTGTTTTTTGCATTTTTAACACACAAACAAATATAAATGCTAACTTTGGCCAGTGTTAGTGACTAAGTGGCTACTAAAAAAGATTGGACGTACCCTATATTGAATACCCTGGGCTGTCTACTTTAAAAAAAAAAAAAAATTTACATGTGAGGTGTGATTCAGAGATTTATGACAGATAACAGTGTTACAATGTCACTATTGATACATTTGAAAAATATATATTTAGAAACAGCAATGTCCTACTTGTACTTATAGCCCTATAACTTGCAAAAAAACAAAAGCATGTAAACTGGGTGTTTTTAAACTCAGGACAAAATTTTGAATCTATTTAGCAGTTTTTTTCATTAGCTTTTGTAGGTAAGTAAAAAAAAATTCATGTAAAAGTAAAAAAACATGTTTCTTTCACAATTTTTAAAAAAATTTTTTAAATAAATTAGATGACATGATACAAATAATGGTATGTAAAGAAAGCCCTTCTTGTCCTGAAAAAAAAAAAAATATATAATTCATATGGGAACAGTAGATGACAGAGTAGAAAAGTACAGCTAAACACAAACACCACAAAAATGTTAAAACAGCTCTGGTCCTCAACGTACAATATGGCCAAAACAGTCAGATCTTGAAGGGGTTAAAAGAATATTATAAGTCTTATAAGTAGTGTTGGTATATTTCAAGTAGTGAGAGTCTACTGAATATACAAATTGAATACTATGATTGTAAAGTACTGATACAATCATCACTAGGTGGTATTAATGGTATAGTAATGTAATTCATGGATACAAATGACAAAGAGTTTAAGTTCACTAGAAACCATATGATTCATGGAAATATAAGTGGATGGGATATAAGAGTAATACATGTATTAGTTCTTAAGTAATATCAGTCCTTGAGAATAAAAAAACTATATTATATGTGTCTGTAGGAATATGATAGTGATGCACAGTTATTATTTAGAAAGTTACAAGATCTTGATTTTGTTGTCTACAAAGACATGACTGTACCTGAGCAGGTAGATCTTTCTCATTGCTTTACATTGTTTATTGGATCAACATTTGTAAATATTTTATTTTATTAATTTATAATGGTGTTATATATATATATATATATATATATATATATATATTATTTTCAAGTAGTTATGTTAAATGGATATGGATATCAATATATAGTTGAAACAGAGGGAGTTTGAAGTAAAGTAAGCAATATGAGGGTAGAAACTATACCTTCTAAGAACTTTCATATAACAAAGTTGTGACTATATCTTGTCTTATGCTCAATGACTGTGATATGAATGTGATACAAGTGATGTTTGAATGGACAGGTTAATGACATTGTGTTATGGTTTTAAGACAAACCATAAACAGAGGGAATGTAGAATATTGCATATTCTATGTTTCTTTTGGTTATGTATGGATGTCTGGATTGACATTAGTAACAGATGGTATCAATAAGGCACAAGGCTTTATATTGTGACGTCGTTATGGTCATATCTATATAGAATAGTAAACAAAGGACCACAAGGTTGTTCTTCTTGTCCGGCTGTTCTCTAACTATGTAAAGTCTAACTCTTCCATTAGGAGATATCAACCCAGCTGCGACCGGGCCGTCACTCCAGGAGAGCCCACGTGACCGGGTACCAGCTGCCACGTTTTGCCGCCGGGGCCGCATGTTAAGGGGTCCATAGGGTGGCCTATGCTGTCAGGGCCATCCGATGTATATGGATTGTAAGGGGGCCCGGTCAGCGCTGGGAGCTTTAACAGTGCGACCGGGCCCTCTGTGATGACATCACTGCTGGGAGGAAGTGACTCCCCGGTCACTCCTCCTAGCAGAGACTCATCAGGCTGAGCCACCACTGGACCCCAGGGAAAGTCACGGATCAGTTTCGCACCGGGGCCCCATGGATTGTGTGTATGCCACTGTATCAACCCCTCTGCCTGTTATCCTTCTCCCATTGAGGCATCAACCCCTCTGCCTGTCCTCCTTCTCCCAGGCAGGTATCAACCTTTCTGACTGATCTCATTCTCTCAGGCAGGTATCAACCTCTCTGGCTGATCTCATTCTACCAGGCAGGTATCAACCTTTCTGCCTGTCCTTCTCCCCGGGAGGTATCTTCCCCTCAGCCTGTCCTCCTTAACCCAGGCAGATATCGTCCCCTCTCTGCCTGTCCTCTTCCCAGGCAGGTATCAATCTCCCTGCCCGTCCTTCTCCCAGGGAGGTATCATCCCCTCTGCCTGTCCTTCTCTGGAGGAAGTATTGTCCCCTTTGCCTGTGGTTTTGTCCCCTGTGAGATATCAATCTCTCTGCCTGTCCTTCTACCAGGCAGGTATCGACCCTCTGCCTGTCCTTCATCTAGGCAGGAATCGACACCTTTGCCCGTGCTCCTTCTCCCAGGTATCGACCCATCTGCCTGTGCTGTTTTCAACTACTGCCTTTACAAAGGCACTTGTGACTCTCAGTCCTAGCTCTTTTTTAACATGTCCCCAGGACAAGGGAGTAGTGCAACCAGGTCCAAAAATTCTGCTACTGGAATCTCCAAACAAACCAGACAGGACACAAGGTTTCCAATGGAAGTACCACAAAACACTTTATTTTGGACAAGGACTTGCCTTGTCCTTAAACATGTGGTGAAAACTATTTAAAATACCAATATACAGAACAATGGAGGACAAGCAATTATAATTAATGAGCCAAGTATATAATAGGGATGTGCATGGGGAAAAAAATTAGGTTCGGTTCGGCATTCCTAAATTCGGCTCGGTTCGGCACTTCGGATGTTCTCTTGCAGCCGCTTAGTAGATAACTCCCTAATTCCCACGGTATTAGGGAGCTATCTACCAAAAGGCCTGTGGCAGCTCACTGTTAAAAACAAACAAACAAACAACCAGGGCCCCCCTCCCATGCTGCGTGAGTGGGGGGCTTTTAAACTGAAGGGGGGAACTGAGCAGCAGGTGGGGGCCCTAAAGTAAAATAAGGGGGGGGGACGACCTATTGTCCTCCCCCCCCGAGCGGTGGTTGGGTGCCCTAAAATACTTCAAAAGGTGGGGGGACCTATTGTCCTTCCCCCCTGAGTGGTGGGTGGGGGCCCTTAGTTACTTGAAAGGTGGGTACCTATTGTCCTCCCCTCCCGGCCCCCTCCCCTGAGCGGTGGGTGGGGGCCCTAAGTTACTTGAAAGGGGGGACCTATTGTCCTCCCCTCTGGCCCCCACCCCTGAGCGGTGGGTGGGGGCCCTAAAATACGTTAAAAGGGGGGCCCTATTGTCCTCCCTCCTGGCCTCCCACACTACTGGGGCCCAGTCAAGCTCCTAAACGGCCGTGGTGTCTGACCGGGCCCCTATTCAACAATACTGATCTGGTGGCCCTAAGTGCATGGGCCACCCAATGGGAAACTCCCAAAAAAATTTTTTCTCCCTAGTGTTCCATGGAACACCAGTGGGGAAACGCTGGTAGAGAAAAATACCTATGGGCAATGGGTATAGCTCTCTCTGAATTGTGAAACAATTGCTCTCATAGCAACTGGGAAATCTCGTCATATGGTTAACATTGCGGCCCTTAATGCGCTGCTGTACTATTATAATCTACAGCCTTTTTGCCACCAGGTTATTATTAGCACAATAGGAAAATAGACCAGGGCACATATTGCACCAAATATAAAAAAATATATATATGACATGATTTTAAGAACAAATGCTTTTTGTATCAGCCCTGAAGCATTTTTGAGTTAGGAACACTGGCATAATAACAAACTACTCGAAGCTACAGCTATCACAGTAAAATACACGTGATTATTTTTTAAAGAAATTCCAAACCTAGTACTGCACTAATGTTAAAACAACATCCCACAAAAACCTCCATGACTAGGAGCTAAATTATGGCCTTGAGTTGTGCAATAAATGGATAATTACAACTCATTACAACAATTTTGCCAACCTTCTTAATTACAGCTAAAGTCCCACATTCTATTTTTTCTGTTTAATAAATTTAAAGGCAGCCTTTTTTCTTAATCTTACTGTACGTACAATAAATCAAGAAAATTTTTCCTTGTGCAGCCAGAATCAAACATACAGCATATATTTGTGAGATGAGTAGTCAGAATTCAACATATATGAGTGTCTTGCGAGATTTGTACTGGACCATGTTGACAGCTATTTTATCTTAGCGACAACCTGTTTATCTATTCATGTCAAATAGGGCAGCCTGGATGTTAGGTAACCAATGCTATAATTTAATGAGTAGTTACTGAGGCTAGAATATAGACTGGAATTTTTCTATTGGGAGTGAGGTAGATAGTTACTCTTAAGCAATGCTTACAGTTGTGAGCACACCCCAACAAATAATAATAAAAACATAGAGCTCTTTTGTAGAACATTATTATGCTCTGATGCTCCATTAACAGTGTTATACATACCCCTTCATAATGACTTAATATAATGTCCAGTCCTTAAAGAAACTTTAAGAAATACTCATATTGACTATGTTAGAATATCAGAAAAATTCTAATGCAGTCAAGAGATACACAGACAAAGAAGGACTACTTTGTCATATATTTTTCTAAAACTGAAACTTCTAGACACTGGGTGGGCTACTGCAGTCTAGAACTATCAATCCTAACAGCCATGAACATTGACGGAGGCAGGGAACTAGCTTTATCTATGGAGTATCACATGCCGAAGAAGACATGCTGAGAGAAGATGGCAGTGCCTGGGAGGGACAGGTCAGGTAAGTAGAAATTATATTTGCCAGCTCCCTGGCCACCGCACCCCCCAGCAGCAATGTCACCGTTGTGGGTCTTTGCCAATTCTGCAAACTCCAGAATTGGAGTGCAACTTTAAGGTTAAGTGATATCTGGGGGTATATAAGCAAGAACCGTATTAAGTACAAAGAGAGGATGCACTATGTACTCAATGCTGCACTCCAGTTCTTGCTTAGCTGGCTAAGAAATGTAAAGTTCTTGCGTAATATCACTCTGAGTCTCTTTTCAGCAGTATGAGAATGGCAGTCTTTGAGGGTGGTAAACTCCGACTGTGAGGACGTTGTATTCAGGAACAAACAACAAAAATAAATATGCATATTGCTTGTAAGAAAACACACGTTATTGAGAAACGAGTCAATTACAAAAGCAGCTGTAATAAAAATATTATACTTTATTTACATAATTTCTGTCATGGCAACGTAAAATGTTGTATGACAAAAAACAAGAATAAAACTAGAATACCTAAGCACACAGCATGTTCGGACCCGAGGGTAAATACATCAGCTGCAGTGCATTGTTTACACCCTTCATTCATATTTAAAGAAACACTATAGTCACCTAAATTACTTTAGCTAAATAAAGCAGTTTTAGTGTATAGGTCATTCCCCTGCAATTTCACTGCTCAATTCACTGTCATTTAGGAGTTAAATCACTTTGTTTCTGTTTATGCAGCCCTAGCCACACCTCCCCTGGCTAAGATTGACAGAGCCTGCATGAAAAAAAAACTGGTTTCACTTTCAAACAGATGTAATTTACCTTAAATAATTGTATCTCAATCTCTAAATTGAACTTTAATCACATATAGGAGGCTCTTGCAGGGTCTAGCAAGCTATTCACATAGCAGGGGATAAGAAAATCTTAATTAAAAAGAACTTGCAATAAAGAAAGCCTAAATAGGGCTCTCTTTACAGGAAGTGTTTATGGAAGGCTGTGCAAGTCACATGCAGGGAGGTGTGACTAGGGTTCATAAACAAAGAGATTTAACTCCTAAATGGCAGAAGATTAAGCAGTGAGGCTGCAGGGGCATGTTCTATACACCAAAACTGCTTCATTAAGCTAAAGTTGTTCAGGTGACTATAGTGTCCCTTTAAGTTATTCCAATCAAAAAATGTTATAGGCCACATATGGCTAAACTGCAGATGTTTGCTAAATTTGCGAATAAAAAGATGCTGCAATGTTATAGAAATGGAAACACCTATAAAAGTAATGCCAAAAAATTAATAGAAATTGACAAATATTTAGCTGTATGTAAATGTCAAAGAAGCCACTTATGAGAAAAATACTCTTAATTAACCGAATTGTTGCGGTTACAACATAAAGGAACAATATGGCATTAGCAATATAAATGTGTATTCCTAATACTATGGTGTCACTTTTTAAGTGACTGGCCCACCTGTAAGGAGTAAAAAAAATAAAAATAAAAATTATTTTAGATGCCTTTTCTTCCATGCTACTCAGCACTAGGCCCCGTCTCCTTGGCTGATATCATTGAGATCGATGATCTCAGCCAATTCAGTGCTTTCCAACAGGTAAGCATCAGAAGGCTAGTGTGCATGTGTGGCAAATGCAGCACTGTACCAGATAGTTTCGATAAGACCATCTGAATGAAATAGAGTTTTACTCTGCTATTTTGTCTGAGTGGCAGCCACTAGTGGCATTTAAACTCTGCAATGTAAAAGCTGCTGTTCTGCAGGGACAAAACTACAGGGACATGGCTTCCAGACCACTTCACTGAGATGCAGTGGTCTGTGTGTCTACAGTGTCCCTTTAACCTTTTAAGACACACTGTGCATATGGCCTGCTAAACATATGCTCACGGTAAGGTGTACCACATGTTCTAAAGTAGAATTCTATGGCAGATTTGGGTTCAGTTTTCATGCCATTAAGCACAAACCGAAAAGAAATGGCCACGAAAGTGTCTATTGGGGGGAAAAAAGTATATTTGATATGGACTCAGCAGACTGTTAATTTGTATTCTCGCATTTGTAAAATTCAATAGTACAACAAAATTTCAGCCCAGCATTCTACATTCCTGGAATCTCATTATAGCTAGACTGCAGTCACACTTGAAGTGGCTTAAAACTTTTATATGATTAACTGTGTGTTCCCCCATGGCAATCAAGACAGCATCCAAAAACTAATTTTGCCTTTGAACTCTCAAAGACGTATTAATAATGAGACTCCGTGAGAAGGAAGCTCCTGATGCAGCTGTCGGAAAAGCATGGCACATTTGTTCCTTTCCTGGACGTTTCCCAGGCTGTTGAATAGCCTGGCTTGTAGGTAGAGGATGTCCCTGATCTGTTCTTTGCAGTCCACCATAGCAAAGTAGGTTTTGGCTTCATTAAGGTTTAGAATGGCAGATTCCAGAGCTGTAAGATAAAGGTTTGAAATTTAAATCACATTCTGCAGATATCCTACAATACACTGATATCATATATAATCACCCAAACAGTTTAGAATATATATATATATATATATATATATATATATATATATATATATATATATATATATATATATATATATATATATATATATTTTTTTTTTTTTTTAATTTATTTTTATTTAAAATACTAGGAAATTCTTAAATCAAGATGTCCTTATTAAACAGCAAACATCATATGACTTGGATGTTTGTATATCATCATTATACCTGTGTTCTAAGGACAGCTCTGGGAAAACCATTGCAAAACATGGGAAACATAGCAAAAGAAAAATTCTGAGACAAACATTCACAAAGCATGATTGGGATATGTGTGTTGTTACACAGCAAAGCAGTATTTTAACACTCACCTTCTGTCTTCTTCTGAGGAATGTAAGACACTGATGAAGCCACTTGGCATTTTGCCACTAGAAGCATGGCTCTCCCCTTGTCCAGCACAGCACCGTGAGCCAGAATTGGTTCTATTGCCATGTGCAGGATATTTAAAGCTTGTTCTGGGATGCCAAGCATGAGCTAGAAGAACAAAGAACCATGGTTAGGTTTTCCAGCAAAGCTGGATACACACTCTCTGTTAACTCAGGAAAAACTCCAGTGCACCTGTATATCTGAATACATACTTTTTACACACCTCTAAACTTCCACCAAGCAACAAAGATGCTAAAAGATGGGCATAGAATGGTAAACATATTTTAACCTGGAATGTTCAGAATATTCTACATGTAATCAGAATATTTTCTTTGAAAATAGAATTGTTTTCTATTATTAAGGGAGTTACATTTATAGCACATAAGATTGGCATATAAATCAATTTGGTACCATTTTGTACTTTTGGATATGTAGTTTTTTTGGCTATTAAATATTCTGACTATGAATCTTCAATAAAATAAATTGAATAAAAAAATAAAAAAAAGTGTCATATAATACAGTACAAGGTTTTTATACAATAAAACAGTACATTTGTATAACAGATCAGTTATATCCTGCCACAAGTGTTTCTTGTAACAGCAGGTTGTCCTTGAGCATGAAGAAAATGTGAAAAAACAAAGACTCAGATGATTAATAAACAAAAATATGATATACTAAAACAATAAAAGGAAAATAATAGAAGAAAAACAAAACAGCTCTTTGAAAATATATCTCAAGCTATCAAACATTAGTTCTGTTTCTAAGGGGAGATTATATCCTCCAAACACAGATGGTATGTTTATCTCAGTGGTTTAGCATATACCAAGAGGTCAATTTCAAAGAAAGCTTATTCTAAAGAAGAAAATAAAATATCTCAAAAAAGTATCTCAATGTTGGAAATATTGTTTTCTGATGTTTTCTTGATCTCCTAACATTTACTAGATCCTCTTACTTCAAGGGGATCTGTGAGAGCTAATTTCAGTAAATTATTAGTTTCCCATGTGCCAATTCCAATATCTGGGGGGAATCTTAGTTCTATACGCCAGTGGGAGTCAGATTTTGGTGACGTACAGGAGGTGGATGCCCGGTCAGATATGTGGTAAGCACTTAAAGAAAAATATTTTTATATCTAAAAATTATAATATTATATTAATGGAATTTTTGACATTACAACAGTGTGTGGCAGGATCACCAGGCAGGCTCTTGACAATAAACTTCAAATGCAAGCTTTAGGATAAAATAGTACTGCAGTTTATTTGCACCTTCCACAAGTTACACAATGCTGTGCTTCACATAAATAAATAAAACAAAAAGAAAAATCCTACTCTAACTTGGAGACTTACTAAACAGCAGTATTCCTAACTATCCAACTGGCCAGCTAATCCAGTTCTAACTATCCAACTGGCCAGCTAATCCAGTTCTAACTATCCAACTGGCCAGCTAATCCAGTTCTAACTATCCAATTGGCCAGCTAATCCAGTTCTAACTATCCAACTGGCCAGCTAATCCAGTTCTAACTATCCAACTGGCCAGCTAATCCAGTTCTAACTATCCAACTGGCCAGCTAATCCAGTTCTAACTATCCAATTGGCCAGCTAATCCAGTTCTAACTATCCAACTGGCCAGTTAATCCAATTCTAACTATCCAACTGGCCAGCTAATCCAATTCTAACTATCCAACTGGCCAGCTAATCCAGTTCTAACTATCCAACTGGCCAGCTAATCCAGTTCTAACTATCCAACTGGCCAGCTAATCCAGTTCTAACTATCCAACTGGCCAGCTAATCCAGTTCTAACTATCCAACTGGCCAGCTAATCCAGTTCTAACTATCCAATTGGCCAGCTAATCCAGTTCTAACTATCCAACTGGCCAGCTAATCCAGTTCTAACTATCCAACTGGCCAGCTAATCCAATTCTAGCTATCCAACTGGTCAGCTAATCCAGTTCTAACTATCCAACTGGTCAGCTAATCCAGTTCTAACTATCCAACTGGCCAGCTAATCCAGTTCTAACTATCCAACTGGCCAGCTAATCCAATTCTAGCTATCCAACTGGTCAGCTAATCCAATTCTAACTATCCAACTGGCCAGCTAATCCAGTTCTAACTATCCAATTGGCCAGCTAATCCAGTTCTAACTATCCAACTGGCCAGCTAATCCAGTTCTAACTATCCAACTGGCCAGCTAATCCAATTCTAGCTATCCAACTGGTCAGCTAATCCAGTTCTAACTATCCAACTGGTCAGCTAATCCAGTTCTAACTATCCAACTGGCCAGCTAATCCAGTTCTAACTATCCAACTGGCCAGCTAATCCAATTCTAACTATCCAACTGGCCAGCTAATCCAATTCTAACTATCCAACTGGCCAGTTAATCCAATTCTAACTATCCAACTGGCCAGTTAATCCAATTCTAACTATCCAACTGGCCAGCTAATCCAGTTCTAACTATCCAACTGGCCAGCTAATCCAGTTCTAACTATCCAACTGGCCAGGTAATCCAGTTCTAACTATCCAACTGGCCAGCTAATCCAGTTCCCAGTTTTAAACAATTTAAACACAGCACTTTAAGCAGGCTTTTACACAGTACATTTTCCTTTAGAGTTTTAGGCTTAACTGCCTCCTCTCTCCCAGCTGTTAGACTCTCTGATGCCTCCAGAGGCCAACCTTTGAAACCCCTAGTGCAGGTTAAATACATTCACCTGAAAGGGCTGACTTCCACCAATTAACCCCATCATGCTGGGAATAGAGAGCGCTCCAATCTGTTACTTACATAGAAAGCCTCTCTGACCCTGCCACAAGTGACAAAATCAATTGCCGCCCAACACAGGTGTTGATGGCACACACTGTATAACTTGAGTCAATCAGTGTCAAGCAGTAGTCAAAGAGATTGGCATACATTTATCGGTGTTGCCAACTTGAGTTGCACTGAACAAAATTATCAGATAGTAATGCAACTGTGGGGCACAGGGAGGAAGGAAAGGGGTTAGGGATTGAGGACAGTGGAAGACTCCCTGCACTCTCCGTGTTTCCATCGTCTTAGCCAGGGAAACGGCTTTCCCAGCCGGACCACATTTTTTTAAAAATTTCTTCAGCGTGCCTTGTGATCTCTGCGTTATTTCCTCGTACAGTCTCGTGCTTTGAACTGCTTGTATCACTTGCAAAGTCGATGGTATGGTCTTGGATTTCCAGTGTTTTGCAATTATTTTTTTGGCAGCGGTGAGGACATGTAGTGCCAGTACAGCTGCGGTTGGAGTGGGATTAATGCCCCTAAGTGCAGATGGAGCAGTGTTTGCATGCTTGCCCATAACAGTTGCACAGATTGGCACAACCACAAAATATGAAGCATAGTCACTAGATCATTGTTGCACCTCCAGCCTTTGCCAGACAGAGATGGATATATGTGCTACAGACGTGCAGATGTTAAGAACCACCTGAACCAGACTTTCCTGCTTGTTTCCCAGTTGGCTGAGCATTTTGACACCCCCTTCATAGCTATTTAAAATTCTTTATTTTTGTCTTGACAGATCAGGCGTTACATCGACATAGGTCGGTATTACACATGTGCCGAGATTTTACAAATACAGACATTTTTTGTTACATACAGGTATCTCTTCATTGGTAACCTGGATATATATATATATACTGTGTTTTTACAAATAGAAGTATTATACCATGCGGATACCCGCTGTCGCCAAGGTTTTTTTTAATAACAATAACATTTGGCACCGGTCCCTAACGGGTAGGTGAGGCTTGTGCCTGGTAGTGGAAGTCTGTCCGAATCTGGTGGTGTACCACTTTTTCTGGTCTTATTTTGCTATGAACTTTTTCTGGAGTCGGTGCCAGCAGGGCCAGCCAGTTTAGTTAGCCTTAGGGGTTTGGCGTGGTGCTTGGTCTTACGGCTTGTGTCCTACCCATCGGGAATCTTTGGCGTTTGTTTCCTCTGGGTTCCTTTGTGTGTTATGGGTAATGGCCCCACCTGAGTCCCCGCCCTTGTCCCAGATAGGTGCTTGTTGTGTTGGGCTGTTCCTGTGTGGTGTGCCTTCCTGTTGACTTTTAATTTGACTCACTGCTGTGTTATATTGCTGTGTAATACCTGACATGTATGGCTCTGTAGGTGGTGGGTGCCCAGGGCCCCGCCTCCATGTGGTTCCTCCATTTATGTGGTACAGGGGGTGGGGTGGGGTACGCTCTGCGCGATATTGGGTTTGGGACGCACAGTGGGCCGCTCCCCACTATCTGTCTCAAGTCTATGGTCCTATGTATTTTGTGGTGTCTAGTCCCCAATGTAATCCTCCCAAGGTTGCCAGACTTTGTGAAAAGGATTTCCGTGTTTCTGACTTGGGCTGTGCGTTTGTCCATTAAAAATGTGTCCTTGATTTTTACTATTATGTCATGTATGGGGGGGGACTATAGGTTTTATCCATGCCTGGGCCAAAGCTTGTCGAGCTGCAAGTGTAAGTTTGTTAAGGAGCTGTTGTTCTTTCCGTGGGAGGCCATCCGTGGGTTTTGACAGTAGGAGGGACCAGGGGTCTAGGTCAATGTGTTTCCCGAGGACTTCAGTCAACAATGTCTGTACCCTTTTCCAGAATCTGGCTACTTGTGGGCAGTCCCACCACATATGTTTAAACGATCCCTTGTCCCCACACCCTTTCCAGCATATGTCTGTCGTGGTTTTTCCCATTCTATGTAATTGCACCGGGGTGGTGTACCACCTCATCAGCATTTTATAAACTTGTTCTTGTTGTAGCACGCATATTGAGGTTTTTGCGGTCGCCTCCCAGATGTCCGCCCAGTCCTCTCCCTCTAGTGTTTAACCCAGGTCGGTCTCCCACTGTCCAATATATATGGGTTCTTTGTCATCCTTATCTGGGGCGCTGAGTTGTGTGTATATAATGGATATAAGGCCCTTCTGTTCTGTCTCTGAGGTGAACGTCTTCATAGGATGTCATTTGGGTTTGGGCTGCTTTCCGTATTTGTTTTTTTTGGCAAAGTCCTGTAATTGTATCTAAAAAAAAATCTTTTGTAGTCAAGGGGGCAACGGTTTTTAGGTTGTCTAACGTTCTGAGCATTCTGTTTTCGTACAGGTGGTGGTATCTCTGAACCCCAGTGTCCTCTATGTCTCTGAAGTCGTGTGCGCACAGCCCAGGCTCAAACGCCCCTTTTTGTAGATACGGGGTGAGTGGGGAGGGCGTGTGTTTTAGTGCATATTTGGTGGCTGTTATATCCCAAATCCTTATGGAATTGAGGATTGCGGGGCAGGCGGTTTGGATGGGAGGTCTGTCTTTCTTGGGCACCCAAATCCAGAATTGTGGTAAGTGAGATCCCACTCGTAAGTGCCACATTGCCACTTGGTCCAGTTGTGCTGCCAGGTAATAGAGGTGGAGGTTTGAGAGCCCCATGCCTCCCCTAGTCTTTCACCGATACAGTACATGCCTCGCTAACCGGTGTCTTTTTTGTGCCCATATGAAGTTATCTATGGTGCTCTGTAACGATGTTAGGTCGTGTTTGGTTACTTTAACAGGTAAGGTCTGTAACAGGAAGAGGAGGCGGGGCAATAGTGTCATCTTGATTGAGTGAAGCCTACCTATCCAGGAAATTGGCTTTCCGTACCATTTGTCCAAGTCTCGGCAGAGTGATCGAATGGTAGGCATATAGTTTTCCGCTTATAGTTTGTCAGGGTCTGCCGTGAATCGTACCCACAGGTATTTAATATGAGTGGTTGTGAGTTTTAGTGGGTACGTTATTTTTATCCTGTTGATCTCATCTTGATCTAGCTCTATTGGCATGGCTACCGACTTCTCTAGATTGATTTTATAGCCCGACACTCCTCCGTACTCCTCCAAGAGAGTCAGCAGGTGGGGTACGGAGTGTCGAGGGTTGGTAATTGTTATCATCACATCGTCCGCGTATGCTGTGGCTTTGTATTCCTCCCCCTTTATATTCTCGTTTATCTGGATCTGGTGTAGAAGTGGCTCTAGCGCCAGGACGAACAGCAGTGGGGATAAGGGGCATCCCTGCCTGGTGCTGTTTCCGGGTCTGAAGGGGGTCGGGGCCGAACCCGGCACATTTGTTTGTGCCGGGGGTTCTGTGTGTAAGGCTTTGATTCCTGTGATGAACGGGTCCGGCATTCGTAGGAGTTTCAGTGGTGTAAAAAGGAAATGCCACTTGACCCTGTCGAACGCCTTCTCCGCATCCAGCAAGAGTACCAGAAAAGGCGTTCCCATCTTTCTCGCCTTCCATATTAGGTCTACTCCCCTCCTTGTGGTCTCATACAGCTGCCTCGTTGGGACGAAACCCACCTGGTCTGGGTGGACCAGGGTGGTCAGGAGGGGGTTTAAACTTGTGGCCAGGATTTTTGCAAAACACCTGCACGTCGAAGTTTATAAGAGATGGCCGGTAGTTTGCGGCGTCTGTCGCATCTTTTCCTGGTTTGGGTATGAGTGTGATATCGGCTGTGAGAGTGTCCGGGCCCGGGCTCGTTCCCGCCATCCACTCTCCAAACACCCTCACCAGGCGAGGAGTCAGCGCTTCACGCAGGGGCTTATAGTATGTGCCACCGAACCCATCCGGCCCTGGAGCTTTGTTGACCTTCAGGGCGGTTATTGCTCCGTCGACCCTGTCCTCGTCTATTGAGGCTCCTAGTGCTTGTATGGCTTTGGGCCCTAGCTCGGGTAATTTGGTCTTAGACACAAAGTTTCTGACCGCTTGGTCATACGGCTCGTTGCTACCGTTCAGATCTGGGGAATGGTTGTAGATTTTCGAGAGGTAGTCTGTGAAGATTTGGTTTATTTCTGTGGGGTTGCTGGTTACCCTGCCATTCGCGTCCCGGAGGGCCATTATCGTATGAAATTTCGCCTTGGGGTTTAGTGCCCTGTCCAGTAATGTATCAATTTTATTAGCGCGCTCGTAAAAGAGACGTCTTGTGTGGATTAGGTCTCTACCCAGGTCCTCCACCGCTATGTTTCGTATTTTATGTCGAATGTCCCCAAGTTCTTGGAGTCTCTGCATTGTGGGTGTTTATGTCTTATTTCCGCCTTTCTCAGCGCCGTTTGGAGCTGACTGCTTTATGGGCAGCCCATATTGTGGATTGTGTTAGGTCTGGTGTGTCGTTTGCTACAAAGTAGGCAGTTAGTTTGTCTTGTATTTATTTTGTCAGCTCTGGGTCCTTTAACAGTGCATCGCTTATTCTCCATTTCCATGGGGATGTGGCGCCTGGCATTCTTAGTGTGAGTTCGATATCAGCGTGGTCTGACCACGTGTATGGCCCCTGTTAGGATAATGTACCTACCCGGGTGGTACTAGGATTTCTACTCCGCTTTTTTTTTTTTTTTTTTTTAAACTATGGCTCTCAAGGTGTAGGACTTGGTGTATAGGTGATCGGCCAGTCGAACCCGGGGTGTGCGCAACAGGTGTGTTTCCTGCACAAAGGCTATAGTGTTCTCGTAATAGCAGGCGTCTTTTGTTTTGTATATTTAAGCCGTTTACGTAGGTGATTTTTAGTGTGTCCATTCTGACAGTCTGGGGTCTCGTCAATTTGGGATTCTGTCAACCGTCTGAGCCTATTCTCGTCTTGGCATCCCTGCCCTGGTTAAGGGGGTGTATTGGCTGCTGTGCTCTGATCTGGGGGGATTGATGGTGGGAGCGGGGATTCCGGACTAGCTCTGAGGTGTGTCCCTGTGTGGGGGGGGGGTTTGTGTAGAAGGGGACGTCAGCCTCAGGGTCGGTGTCCTGCACCGCCGAGGGGACAGTGGGTAGGAGTGGTGGGGTGTTTGTTAGGGTGTAAGGGGAGTTTGGCTAGGAGGATAAACTCCTGCCAGTTAGGGGCTGTATGTACAGCGATCCGGTCTTATGTGTTGCCAGGCAGATCGGGGGGTGACCATCCACTCCGCTATGCTATAATTCACTCGCGGAGGGAATTCTCTGTCACCGAGCACCCCGTCAACGCTCAATTCTTTGAGCTGATAGTTATCCCCTACGTCTCTGTGGTTCCTAAACTTTACGCTTGGGAAAGCATTCACATATGTCAAGAACAGTAATCAAAATAGTAACCATAAATACAATAACAGTTGCAACAGTTCTCATTCCTTTGTGTTAGATTAGTGTTCCGATACCCCTATAGGCCTTGTGTCCCCCTAGTCAAGAAGGTATGTATTCCGCCTTTTTAAAAAAATTTTTATTGCCCTCTCTGTCTCGGCATTCCTTATTAATGTAATTATTTTTCCGTCCCATGCCCCCCACCCCCCTCCTCCTGCCAGTCCCCCGTTGTCCCCTACAGCTCGTATTTACAGAGTAGAATGGTTTGATTTACAGTCCGTTTGTGGCTTCTGTCGTGTGCTAGACTTCATCTCGGGGTTGGGGTTTCATATTGTCGTCCCTATCCGTTTTACTGCCTTGTAAGCCATGAGGTGGGAGTCTCTGGGCTGCCGTGGGTCCATAGGGGGTCATTGAGTATGTTTATCCGTCTCATAGTTCCTGTCCGGGGTGTAATGGGAGGGGTGAGGGGTTGTCGGCTATGGTATGTCCTGTCTGGGATTGTGGTCTTGTGATACCGGTCAGTCTGTGGTCCCCTCCAGGAAACTCTCTGTGTTCGGTTCTTTTCAGTGTCCCCTTACTGCAAGCAACATTCAAAAACATAGTAAAACCATAACATTTAGGATGAGATGGGTAATCACTTCCGTGTCTTGTCATGTAGACGGAAGGTTGTCTTTGGCCGTGTGTCTCGGTAGTTCTTTTTTGTTTATATATATATATATATATATATATATATATATATATATATATATATATATATATATATATATATATATATATATATATAAATAAAAATAAAATTTTGTTTCTTTGTGTTTTTTTATTTTTTTATTTATATATTTATTTTATTTTCCCGATTATGGGGTGTTTGCCGTTTTCCTTGTCTTCAATGATATTTCTGTTGTTATTGTCAGTGTGTTGGTCCTCTCGTTGATCGCTGCGGTTCGGGCTCGGGTCATGTCGACATAATAAGTCTGTCCGTGGTGGTGTTCCGTCTCTTGCAGGTAGTCTCCTCTTGCAGGGGGGAGAGGAGGTTACTTAAGCTGTCCTTTAGGGAATGTCCATTTGGGGCTGTGCCCCATCCCTGGGTATCTGTCCCAGTGCGATGCCTCTGGTGGGCAACCGAAAGTCCGCTGGCACTTTTATGCAGAGATCTTGCAGGAATGTCTTGGGGTCTGCGGATGCTAGTAGCACTGTCGGTCGTGGGGCCGTTGAATAACAGCATTTTAAAAGGGTGACCCCAGGCGAAACTGAGGCCCTTGGCTCTCACCAGGTCTGCAATGGGCTTCCATTCCCTTCGCGCCAGGGTAGCCGGTGCGATGTCCTGGTATAGATGCAAGGTGCTGCCTTCATAGCTATAGGTGTGGTTTCTGCTGCTTTTAATTATGGCCTCCTTGGTGGAAAAGAAGTGCCACCGCATTATTACATCCCGTGGGGGACCCTCTGGGGGGCCTCTCGCTCTGAGTGCTCTATGGGCCCTATCTACAGTCCACAGGTGGTCTGGTATATTTGTCAAGTGGGTGCGGAACACTGTGGCAAGTATCTTTTGTAGTTCTGCTTCTTTTACTCTCTGCGGCAGGCCCTTTATGCGCAGATTGTTTCTACGTGATCTGTTGGAAGCGTCTTCCAGCTCCGCTTCCATCTCTGCCATCCTGGTGAGAAGGGAGTTTGTGACCGTGGCAGCTTCGTTGTGGACCACTACCACGTGGTCCATTGTCCATTCCAGAGCCTCTGTGCGCTGGCCTACAGCTTGTATTTCAGCTTTGACTTCCCTGGTGGAGCATTCTATTTCTGCTGCTAGGAAGTGTTTTACCTCTGCCAGGGATTGCAGGATTTCTCCATGTGACGTCTGGTGCTGTGCTTGTGCTTGGTCTAGCCTGTCAGGAGTGTCTGTGTGATCGTGGCCGCCGCCATCTTTGGGAGCATGAGGCCTGTGTGAGGTTAACATGTCCTCGACGGATGGGGTACGGTCTTTCGTTTTTCTCCCATTTTTCTTTTGGGATGCCATCAGGTATGCCTTCCCTCGTCGCTGTGGGGGTAGCTGAGGGTGTTTGCAGGGATCTAATGCTGCTTACTGTGCGTTTAGGAGTGCCTGGGGTGCAGAGCTCCGAGCTTAGGCGGCCATCTCTCTCGGCGGTCAAGCCACGCCCACCCCCCTTCATAGCTATTTAATGCCTTTTGCCACTCTCCCTCTGAAAATGATTAGTGGAGCTCTTCTTCTCATTTGTTGATAAAAGATGGCTTCCGTCTGGAATCTGGGTGTATCAGAGTATGTAGAAAGTGAGTGCTTTAGAGACGGAGTATTCAAGCAATGAATGAAGAAGATAGTGGATTGACCGTAGTTGTAGTTCGTGATTTGGAGTATGTGCTTGATATGGAGGCACTTAAATATTTCTAATCTGGAAATGCCAATTTTTTCCTGTACGGTAGGTGAAGGGAGAATTTATGTTGTAGCAGATATGCCCGCATCATGCCACGGTTTCATGACTTCAATCTGGGGAACACTTTTTGCTCCAGTTGATGTCACAGTAGGATTACCCCTGTGTGTAGCATTTCTTCCAGATACGTGAATTGAGGGTATGTTGAAATCTTTGTAGGAGAGACTTGGAAAGCTTAATCAGCAGGAAATCTAGCACCAGGCATGGCTAAAAGAGACATGGCTAGAGAAGGTCAGAAACGTCTGCTGGCCGATCACCGAATAAGTCCGCTCGCCATGCAGGTCAAACCCCGCCCCATGTGGTAAGCACTTTTCAGGGTTTCAGTGTGTGCAGCTTTGAAAGAGCAGTGTGTCAAAACTACGCTTTATTCGTACACTACCAATTGGCTCAGTTGTTAAGAATGAGAAAGGTTCCATGATTTATGATGAAATAATTGTTGCCATACAGCTTAACCTGCTCTCTCATGACTTTATTTTGAGCGTAGGTTTAGTGTTTGCTGTTCTCAGCTTTACAAAGACCTATACAGCAGGAACTGTGGTTCTTTCTATTGTCCCGTCGGATATACGGACGCTCTTTACAATCCCAAATATTATGCCATAACATAAGTGTAGCTGCTTGGAAGGCAGTGTTGCATATGTGGCTTTCTGACAGGATCCTCCAAATGGGAGTTATTACAATAATCCGAGACAATCAACTCAAGAACAAACTCACAGCAATTGGTTAAAAATAAATTTGCTTCAAATCACAAAAACAGGGGTGTCTTGGAAGAATGATGTGTAAACTAGTTGTGGTATCCAGACCACCCCTCTTGTAGCGTTTACCCCCCTTTCTGTTCTTCACTCCCATGTTTTTACTTACAATTGTGCTCAAAATTTGCATGCTCTGGCAGAAATTGTGACATTTTGGCATTGATTTTGAAAGTATGACTTCTCATGCAAAAAAATTTTTATTGAAGGATAGTGATTATATGAAGCCATTTATCATCATTGGCTCCTTTTTAAATCATAATGATAACAGAAATCACACAAGTGGCCCTGATCAGAAGTTTACATACCTTAGAATGTTTGGCCTTGTTACAGGCACACAAGGTGACCCACCAGGTTAAAATGTCAATTAAAAGGTTAATTTCCCAGACTTGAGGCTTTTTAAATTGCAATTAGTGTGTGTTTAAATAGTCAATGAGTTTGTTAGCTCTCAAGTGGATGCACTGAGCAGGCTAGATACTGAGCAGGCTAGATACTGAGCCATGGGGAGCAGAAAAGAACTGTCAAAAGACCTACATACTAAGGTAATGGAACTTTATAAAGATGGAAAATGATATAAAAAGATATTGAAAGCCTTGAAAATGCCAGTCAGTACTGTTCAATTACTTATTAAGAAGTGGCAAATTCGGGGATCTCTTCATACCAAGCCAAGGTCAGGTAGACCAAGAAAGATTTCAGCCACAACTGCCAGAAGAATTGTTCAGGATAAAAAAAAAAAAAAAAACAACCCACAGATAACCTCAGGAGCAATACAGGCTGCTCTGGAAAAAGATGGTGTGGTTGTTTCAATGAGCACAATACGACGATACTTGAACAAAAATTAGTTATCAGAAAGAAGCCTTTACTGCGCCAATGCCACAAAGAAGCCCATTTACAATATGCCCGACAACACCAACAGAGTCACAACCAAATGCGCCATATTTGGAGAGGGGTCAACAAGGCCTATAGTGAAAAGAATACCATCCCCACAGTGAAGCATGGTGGTGTCTCACTGATGTTTTGGGGGGTGGGTGGCAGCTCTAAAGGCACGGTGAATCTTGTGAAAATGTATGGCAAGATGAATGTAGCATGTTATCAGAAAATACTTGCAGACAATTTGCATTCTTCTGCACGAAGGCTGCACACGGGACGCATTTGGACTTTCCAGCATGACAATGACCCTAAGCACAAGGCCAAGTTGACCTTAATATCATCGAACCAATCTGGGGAGATCTCAAATGTGCGATTCATGCAAAACGACCAATGACTTTGCATGACCTGGAGGCATTTTGCCAAGACCAATGGGCAGCTATATCACCTAAAAGAATTTGGAGCCTCGTAGACAACTATTACAAAAGACTGCACGCTGCCACTGACGCTAGAGGGGGCAATATACAGTATTAAGAACAAATAATATGCAGACTTTTGAATTGGGATCATATATATTTTTTTCCTTTGTTGCCATGTTTTGTTTTATGGTTGTGCCATTCTGTTATAACCTGCAGTTGAATATGAATCCCATAAGAAATAAAAGAAATGTGTTGCCTGCTCACTCATGTTTTCTTTAAAAATGGTCCATATATTCTCCAAGGGTATGCAAACTTTTGAGCACAACTGTACATTTTAATTTATTATTGGTTTTAAATAATGTTGTAAAATGATGTCTAATTTGTTACTGAAAGGTTGTACTTTGTAGATGTTCTTGTTCTGACTTTAAATAGACAAACCAATCAACTAGTCAATATTAAAATGCTCTTCTTTTTTTCTATTTAAAAAGTAAGAAGAGTGGATAGGGTGAACACAATCATGCCATTTAATTTTTCAGGCAACTGCATACAGAATACTTATGTTAGTATAGGGTGCCTAATTTGCATGTAAGAAGAGCAGAGTGAACCTATTGGGTAGCATCTAGATTAGGCTAACACAAAAAGTCTGCAAGGAACAGGATATAGTCAGACCCTTTCGTCTTTGGGGAGAATCATTTGGTAGAGATGGACTCATGGTGGTTGGAAGAGAGATGGTTTTATAGCTAGAAAAATATTAAATAATGGGAATGGGTATGGTAAAATGAGGTAGACAGAGGTATTTGCATGGGGATTGCCTTATGAAGTGTTAGGGAAGACTTTCTGAAGAGGCGATAATTTAGAAATGTGAAAAAAGTGGCCAAAGAATTGGCCACTTGGGTGTGAAGATTATTTTCACTCCATATTCCTTGCTATCTAAATAAATTAAATAAAAATCACATGGATATGTGGGTGTTAGGCCACATGATGTGAAGGATTATAACTTAAGATGAGTGAGGAGTGAAAGGGAGTATGTAACGTAGAGGAATTTGTATATAAGGGTATGGAGTTTAAAATGTAGCCAGTGAAGATTTAAAGGTGTGGCAGCACAAGGTAAGCTGAGGAGGATACAGCGCTGCGATTGTGATAGCGCTTTACAAATAACGTATAATAACAATAATATAGGCAGCAGCATATTGAATTTGTTAGATTTTACAGAAAGTGATGTGGAAAGATGAAAAGGAAGGGCTTGCAGTAGTCAAGCCTAGTGAAGAAGTACATAAAGAATAGGCATCCCCAAACCCCTCATTTTAGTACACTGACTCGCAGAGGATAGGGATATCAAGTTGAGAAAAGAGTAGGATAACAGACTATATCATAGGTTGGAAAATCAAGAAGGGTGAGAATGCAAGATGATGTGCATGCTCAAAGCAACTAATTAAAAACGAATTATATGAACAATCTACATAGGTGACATTTACTTTCCCAAAGCTGTAAAAATCCCATTATTTTTAAATATTTACATATAATACGAGTTACATACTGCTTTAAAAAGTCAGAAGCTCCACTGCATTATACAAGTGTTCTTGTAAGCTACTGATCTATTGTTGACTATTCCTGCTGAGAACTAACAGGAAACAATAATCAATATTTATTTGAACTAGATGTTGAATATCAGTGGCAAATAATTTAGGGTTTCTGAGCACATTATATTGATAAAGAATACCATTACATATAATGCACACATTTGTTTTGGTTTTTTTGCAGCAGTCCTGTTGTCAGTTACTTTTTCTCCCAAAGGGAGTAATTTTTCTCCTATATTTCACATATGTTGTTTTTCTTCAAACACATTTTAACCCCTAAGGACCCTTGATGGAATTATTCCATCATGGCTATCCTACCCTTAAAAACCAATGATGGAATAATTCTGTCATATGGCTTTTTACCAACAGGGACTGTTTACCTGTAGATTACTGGGAAACCCCAGGTATCATTTGATACCTGCAGTTCCCCTATGTCAGCTGTGGCTCAGCTTGTTAATGGCCTTTTGCGGACCAATGACCTGTATGCAGCACTCAAAGTAAGTGCTGCATACAGCCCTTTAAATGGTCCAGTGATATCAGTAATGATGTCACCACTAATTCCCTCTGCCCGAATTTAGGGTTAAGGTTAGTTAGTATTCACGTTTAGGGTTAGTGTAACAGTAAGGGTTAGCGTTATAGTTAGCAGTGCAGTTACCCTAATTGGTTGGCACACAATCTTTTCCTTTTTTTTTTTTTTTTAAACCAAATACACACAGGTAATGTATTTTGGCATCTTTGCATAAACTTTGCAAAGGTATACATAAAGGTGGTGGTGTACTCTGAAGATGCAGCCGAGTACACTTTAAGGAATTTTTTTACAATTGCACAAATGAGATTTAAAAAAATATGCAACAAAAATACAATGTGTATGTAAAAATGATAAAATAGAAATTATTACCACAGACTTTGCACAAAAGCAGTGAAAATGCCACCTTAATAAAGCATGAAATATCACGTGGACAACACTCTCACATTTGCAAATGGTATGCATTTATAGAGTAATTTCAATGTGAGTTACTCAAATGCCCCAAAATTCACCATAGATCAATCTTCAATTTGCCATTAATTTAAACTGCATTGGACGGGTTATTAATTCAGCCCTGTATTTTCACAAAAACTATAGCAGAGTGGAATTCAGAAAAAAAAAATTTTTTGTAAACATTAGGCTTACAAAATAAATGTGCATGTAAAAAAACCCAAAACAAAAACATAGAAGGTGAAAAATTGTTGTTGAATAAGGTTCAAATATGCCATATGACATACCTCATGGTGTCTACTTTTGCAAATGGTATTCATTTATTGTGTAATTTAAACTGGCAAATTGTTACAATGCTCGAAAATGAGACATGGGCCCATCAAATCCATCTATCAAAATTGTAACTGTAAAAACTGAAAATGTCAGGTCTCTTACATGGCACTGATACTTCACAGGATAGTGGCAAACTCTTACACTGGGGGTATTGTAGTACTCAGAATATGTAGCAGAGCAGAACATTTTTTTAGAACTTGACCAAAGAGATATGATGTCCAGCAAAAATGCAAGATAAAAATGGAAAATTATCTTAAACCATAATAACGTAAGTAATTAAAGAACATTCATTGATTGAAGCAGTTAATTTAAAGATGTTTTCTCCTTTATTTTGTTATAAATTTCTATGCCATTTCCCTTTTTTGGTATTTATTTTTAGTACTTATTAAAACAGATTGCATTTTTGTCAAACTGAAGATTGCAGGGAAATGGAGTGTTCATGTGCACATAGTTTGTGGACTGGTAGTCCAAATTAATGCTGGCAATCAGAATATGCTCACCTGTGAGAAAGCCAAGTTTAGCATAGATTCAGAGGCCATATATTGTAGCTGGTACTCCCTGGACAAAGCCAGAGCTTGTAGTAGTACAGGCAGTGCCACCGAATGACAGGAAGATCTCCAGTAAAGCTCTGCTAAGCACAAAAGGACCCTGGAAACAGAGATCAGAAATAAGTCACTTTCTATTTGTTTTTTTGGCCACCCTGCATAATATCTAGCCAACTTCGATCATACCATTTTATATAGGTGAGGACTTGAAAATCTTTATAAAATGCCATAACCGGTTAATGTAGCTGATATTGCAAACACAGAAACTTATTTGAACAATCAAAAATAAAAAACACAACAAGACACAAAAACAGATATGCATACCATGTATTTTCATTAAAATTATTTTAATATTTGATTGAAATTATTAGTGCTATTGTGCTTGAACCGAAATAAGAAACAGATAGCGGTCTGTTCTTGACAACACTGACATAGAACATGTCTTTGCACATGTTGATAAGTATCTAAATTACTAATCTGTGGCAAGGTGCAGTAGTACAATTTTGTTAACACACTCATGCATACTGAAAAGCTTTGTGTAATGTAAATAAGGGGCATTTGGTTCTGAAGAAGTCCCTATAAAATGTGTAATTCAATTAGGTTCCATTCGATTCAAAATGAAAACATAATTTACATTACTCACCGTATCACCATCTCGGTGTTCCTTACTTTCTGGCAGTGCGTCAGTAACACTTGCAGAATTTTATGGGCCTCTACCGTTTGGTTTTGGGATTTTAAAACGGTTGCTTTCCTATGAAAACAATAAGCAAGTCATAATGAATAGTTTGGGGAATTAAGTAGCACTCTTTGTAATATCTTTGGGAGAAATTGCAAATGAGCTACCCCTTAGATATAGAAGAAATATACAACATATTTTTACATATAATTACTTACTTCATTATCCAATATAACGGAATGAATGTTATAACATTAATATTATTTGTATCCATTACATGGAAAGAAATGATTAAAATGCACTATAAAAAGTCAAAAATTAAAACGATGTTTAAAGTGGATCTGCCACTTTTGGGGGTCTTTGCAGATTCCATAGATCCTTTGTGGGACTAGTGGATGCCGAATTCACGCGAAGGTAAGTTTTACTTACCTTGAGCTGTTCCTTGTAGCCGCCTTCTTCGCCTTGCAGCCCTTTTAGCTCCTATCAGGTCAGTTGATAGGGGCCGTATCAGTGTGGTATTCCTGAGCAAGAGTACAACACTGAGGTCTATGAAGGATCCTGCGAGACCCTTCATAAATTGATGCCTAATCCCACAGCTGACACTTGTGATGGCTGCTGGAAATGGACAAAAGAACAGGGGAGCCCTGTCTTTTGTCATGAAATATTAAAAACTGACAGATCTGCTTTAACCTTTACATGGACAAACACATCATTAGTTCTGAGATCAATCCTTTTAAGTACACATTTTCTGAGAAAAGCAGATTGAGTAATGAAGAGGTGGGCAAAACCTTTTTGTTAAATGTTTTGTACCATTACTGGGAATGTATCCTAGTCTGAGCTCTCCGTGAAGCATATAGGGTCGAAATGCGGCACCGAGAGCTCAGACTAAGGGCGAGGATTGAGCCATTCAGATTAAGCAATGCTACCCGGCAGGGGTGCCCACCGTGACCTCTCCTGTTTGTGCTGACTCTGGAACCACTCCACCAATCGATTAGAGGTAGTCTGGATATACAGGGGATTAAGTTAGCCAATGCAGAATTCAAAGTTTCTCCTTATGCAGATGACATCCTGCTCACCCTTATGAACCCTGTAGACTCCATCGTTTAACACTTTAACACTTTCCTGTAAATTTCTGGTTACAAAATGCATTTAGATAAATTTACAGCTATGCCTATCAATATGTCAACTGCAAACATGGCACTCATGAGCTCCACTTATAATATGAAGGTTGCTCAGAGTTCCATAAAATACTTAGGAATCCCACCCCCCCAAACTTCTATTAACATTAACTTCCTACCTGGATTGCGAGAAAAAGACTTAAATAGAAAACACAGGCATGCAAAGATTCATGCATAACAATGTTTTTATCCATTCATTTCTATATAGAGAAAACCACCTCCCAAGCCGGCTAAAGGGGCTGTGGTAAAAGGGAACATACACTACATGCGGTGGACCTACCTCAAGGTTATTAAATATTGGAAAATTGTTAAAGACCTACTGGTAGGTCCTCCTTTTTAGCTAAACCAATTAAGGGTTTATCGTCAAACATGCAAAAATGATTTAATACAATTACCCTAGCTGCAAGAACAGCACTTGCACAATTGTGCTGGGTATAGATGTCCCTAGGAAAGATAAAGTTGTACTTAAAATAAAGGATAACTTCCCGATGAACAACCTCACAGCTCAAATCTGCAACAGGAGACTGAGAATCCTCTCACTCCGTCTCTCCTCACGGCTCTTTCCCCCCTCCCCCCACCTTTACTCTCTTTGTGGTTGTAAATGCGATAAACGGGGAGGTAATGGTAATATTTGTTTATTTGTTAAAACGCAGACGAAGGAGATGAACATACACAGAAGACTGTCTTCATTCCAATTCTCCCATTGCATTGTTCTGCTTTAGATAATAATGGATTACTGTAATACAATTGTTGACAATATACTTTATGTATGCTGAATGTCTACCTCATCTCTTAAATAAAAAAAACTGTCAAATGGAAATGGTATTGGTGTGCACCGTATATATACACACTTTGAATTAACTGTGAATCAATAGATAAACTGTTTCACTAGTAGTGTACAGACTGGGGAAAAAATGGTGATTTTACTAGGACTGATAGAATCCATTTATATTAATGCAAATGTTAATACATATCACAGTAGATTTACTAAGGAAATAATTAAACCAGGCAGCATTAACAGCAACTGGCTGATTATACCTGTACAGTCCCTCCACACTGTTGAGCGCCGTAATTCCAGTTACTAGGGATTCCGCAATATGATATTTCCCATCATTCATGGCACGGTCAAACTGGATTTTTTGGTCAAAAAGCATCCAAAGCTAAGAAACAAAACATATTGAGAGTTAAATTCCCATTTAAATAGTGTGTATTCATTGCACAACTTTATCACTTTACAAGATTATTACTTGCAAGTGCACGCTTCCGGTACAGTTGAGTGCATGATAACATTGTACACCTTACAAGTCAGGGGTGGAAAGATATTTATAATATTATATATCCCAAGCTGCAGATTTTTTTTTTGCACTATAACCATTACAGTAAGCTGAAGTTGTTATAAAACACTTTTATATTTCAACACATTTGCTAGAACTAAAAGACAAACTAGTGGTTTCAGTGTATACATACTTAGTAACCATATTGCATGCAAGGTTTGATGGAAGTTAGTAAATTGTCTGCAAGTTGCAATGCAATACAGCTTTCTTTTAGTTTGAGAGCGGAGGGATGATTACTATGCACTTTGTGAGATCTAGAAAGGGCTGCAAATTCAGAATATTGCAGAAACTTGATTCAAGAACAAATATTTTAGAGTTTACTTCATCAAATATGAACAGACAGTTGTTTTTTTAATGAAAATAGACACAAACATTTTCTGTATTCTAGCAATACTACCTTTGCATGTTGACTGTTGGGTGGGAATCTGTCTTTTAAATGTTTCAAGATCTCAGAGGCAGAAGAAAAATAACCCTGAAAAACACATTTTGCTTTATTAATATCCAATTGCATTAATTAGTAATAAAACGCATTATCTTCTTCAGCAGTAAAACTAAGATATATACTTCCTGATAGATCAATCTCACTACAGTGACCACCAACAGACGGTTTGTGGTCACTGAGTAGTTGGGAAGTCAAAACATAGAGAATCTAAAGAAAAATTTCCTCCCCTTCTAAATGCTCCCTCTATCATATACCCAAACACAAAAACAGGAAACTGAACAGGGCAATAGAATAATAAAAGCACCACTAATTTCAACAACAATATGGGGTTTTAGCTGGCACCAAACGTACTAATGCACAGCATGAGGATGTCCAGCATCAGTTAGCAGACCTGAAAGTGTCTCTAGTTGCTGTCTTTTAGACAGCCACTTGAGGTGGAGTTAAGCCTGCAAGGTAATTATTGCAATTTCTCAATAACTGCAATAATTACAATTGCAGGGTGAAGGGGACAGGGGCATTGCACCCAGACAACTTTAATGAGATGAAGTGGTCTGCCTATAGTGTCCCTTTAAGAAAATGATGATAAGCTCTCTCAGCTCCAGAATCTTTGTCAGTGGAAGTAAGACTTTTTCCTGGTAAGAATCTAAAATGAGTCCCCAGGAAGGGAATCTTTGGAAAATTGGCATAGGTTCTGAAGCAAACAAAAAAAACAGAGGTTCACATAAACTACTTGAAGGATATGCTGGACTAATTTTTCCAAGTGACCTAGAAAGCCATTCCTGTCACATTCCACAGACTCCAAATGGATGAGGTTTGAGAGTATGGTTACTTTCTGTGACTCCTGCCAACAAGTGTTGAAGTGGAATGTTTTGAGACACATAAAATAAAAAAAAAATGGTGAATGTTCTAATAAAACCAATTTTTATAGGAGACTGAAGATTTTTGATATAAAAATATAACTTGGGAAACACCTCCATACTGAAGAAATAGGCAGTACATTCAAATGCCCGTTGTTTCAGCTGGGCAAATGTCCTTAACATTAAATATACTAATACATTTGTTGGAAAACATTCTGTAATGAAACCGCACATTAGATCCATTTCTACAATATAATAGTAACGTTTTATTAAGATCCAGGCCAAAAGTCATATCACTGGAATATCCACGGATGGTGAAGTGGCATGAGATGGGATCCAAAAAGCTTAGACTAAGGATTTCCCACCTGTATCTCTGATGTTCTGGACTGAAGATTTTTCCCTAAAGTCGCATTATCCTTGAAGGAGAACTGCAATGATTTTTAGAAGCATGATCAGCACACACAAAGTCCTCCAACAAACAAACCCCGAGAGACAAGGCTCTAGCAGACATACAATACCTTCAAGAAAAGCATCATACAAAAGAGCAAATTTTACATTATTCAAGGTATTGCAACATCTTCTAATTGGGCACATTGCAGGAAACCTTTTGCCAGCTGAATTAAAATTTTATGACATCTTGCCAGTTATATCAACAATAAACGTTCAAATCCCCAAGTACAAGCTTCAAAAGTTCACATTATGGCTTGCATATACAGGATCAGAGATGTGGGAGGCTTCCTGTGAGGAATCAACAGTGTGCTTGTTGAGTTTACCAAAATCTGCATCCATAGTAGGGACATACCAGATGATCTCAACTGATTTATCTAAAGGAAACCTCTCTTAAATGGACACTAGTCACCCAGACCACTTCAGCTCAATGAAGTGGTCTGGGTGCCAGGTCCCTCAGGTTTTAACCCTTCAGATGCAAACATAGCACATACATTTGGGGTTAAGCCAGCCTCTAGTGGCTGTCTTCCGGACAGACACTAGAGGCGCATCTGCGACGCTGGAGGCACATTTCGTCTCCACCGCACAGAGCGTCTATAGGAAAGCATTAAGAAAGCATTCGGCTCCGCTGATGTTGGCGGGGGGGGGGGGAGGTCACCCGCGCCAAGGGAGCACGGTGCTGGATTAAGGTAAGCTGCTGAAGGTGTTTTAAACCCTTCAGTGCCACGGGGACAGCCACTAGAGGCGCATCTGCAATGATTGAGGCATATTATGCCTCAATCACGCAGAGCGTCCGTAGGAAAGCATTGAAGAAAGCTTTCCTACGGACACTTTGAATGCGTGCGCGGCAGTGCTGCGCATTCGGCTCCTGTGACGTCGGACGAGGATGCGGACGTCGGCTCGCGCACTGTTTAGTGAGCCGGAGTGACGTCATAACCCGGCTCCTGGCATCACTACAAGCCGCGCGAGAGAGCAGAGCAGGGAGATTACAGCACCCTTGCCGCGGCATTAAGTCATCCGTCTGCCCGCCTCCCTCAGCTCTCCATGGGCTGGACGTCTCCCTCCCTCAGCAATAAATGAGCCGCCCGCACGCCTCTCTCTCACAGCCCTCCATGAGCCGGTCTCCCTCCCTTATTTCTCAATGAGCCAGCCGACTCCATCAGTCAGCAGCCTGCCTCAGCCGTCCGTGATCCGACTGCCCGCACTGATTTAATTGTTTTAGTAGTTCTTAAAGCGGCACTGTCATGCCGAACTTACCTTTCCTCAATCTCTTCCTCTTCTCCCCCTCTCTCAGGATCTGTTATTCTTTTCTTCCTATCTTCTTTAGTTTTCTTTAAAATCATAAGACAAAGTAGGGACTCTTTGCCTTATGGAGGATTCCTCCGCTTGACCAGCTCTGACCAGCGGAGGAGCAAAATGTGCTTCATTTCCGCTGGTCAGAGCAATTTTCCCATGATCCTTACCTTCCCTCTGTGTTCCCACAATGCTTCCTGTCACTTTACACAAAACTGCCGAATTGCGTTCTAACTGAATGAGAACAGTATGTTCGTTTCTTTTAGAACGCAATTCGGCACTTTATTCGGATCGGAATTTCATTCTAATGAATGAAACTCCGATCCTATTCATTGCCGCGGCTGCATCTTGCAGCCGCTTAGTAGATAACTCCCTAATTCCCACGGTATCAGGGAGCTATCTACTAAAAGGCTGAAAGACCTAAATTGGTCTTTTAGCCAACTTTACTAATACTAAGTAAAGATTACTTAGTATTAGTAAATTAAATGCCCCTACTCGCTATACCGCGAGTAGGGGCATGTGTAGTAAGCAGTGAGCAGCTTATAGAAAAAAAACAAAAAACTAATAACCACCCCCCATGCCCGTGGGGGCCCTAAATAAAGATATGGAATTTCTGTCCCCTCATTTACCCTGCGTGTGGGGCCTATCAAACAATAAAGGGGGACTACTAATCACTCCCCTATTTTCCCCCACCCTGCTAGCGGTGGGTGGGGCCCTAATAAAGGCTAATAAGGGGGACCTACTGTCCTCCCCACCCCTCTTTTGGTGGTGGGGCCTAAAACAATAAGGGGCTGCACAATACCTCCTGGTGATGGGGCCCAATAAAAACAATAAGGGGGCCTGTCACTCTCCCCTGGCCCCCTGCAATCAGGTGACTAGGACACACAGCCCCTAGTCACCCCCCCAAAAAAAAACCTATCCCCCACCTACCCTAAGAATAGTGAGGGGGGAATAAAATAACTAACGTGTAAAAAAAAAAATTAAACGTCTTCTTTTTTCTAAAATCTTCTTTCTTCAACCCCCAAAACCTGTCGCACTTGAAAAAATTCTGTCCCCCCCCTCTGCGCGGTGGGTGGGGGCCCTAATAAAACAATAAGAGGGCCGGGGGGGGGACAGTAGGTCCCCCCCCTTATTGTTTTATTAGGGCCCCCACCCACCGCGCTGGGGTGGGGGCCAGGGGGGAAGGACAGTAGGTCCCCCCCCTTATTGTTTTATTAGGGCCCCCACCCACCGCGCTGGGGTGGGGGCCAGGGGGGGAGGACAGTAGGTCCCCCCCCTTATTGTTTTATTAGGGCCCCCACCCACCGCGCTGGGGTGGGGGCCAGGGGGGGGAGGACAGTAGGTCCCCCCCCTTATTGTTTTACTGGGGCCCCCACCCACCGCTCAGGGGTGGGGGCCAGTAGGTCCCCCCCCCTTATTGTTTTATTAGGGCCCCCACCCACCGCTCAGGGGTGGGGGCCAGGACAGTAGGTTCCCCCCCTTATTGTTTTATTAGGGCCCCCACCCACCGCTCAGGGGTGGAGGCCGGGGGGGAGGAAAGTAGGTGTCCCCCCCCCTTATTGTTTTATTAGGGCCCCCACCCACGTGGGGGTGGGGATAGGGACTAAGGTATGTATTGTTTATTAGCCCCCACCCACCGCCCAGGGGTGGGGGGGGGGAAGGACAGTAGGTCCCCCCCCTTATTGTTTTATTAGGGCCCCCACCCACCGCGCTGGGGTGGGGGCCAGGGGGGGAGGACAGTAGGTCCCCCCCCTTATTGTTTTACTGGGGCCCCCACCCACCGCTCAGGGGTGGGGGCCAGTAGGTCCCCCCCCACTTATTGTTTTATTAGGGCCCCCACCCACCGCTCAGGGGTGGGGGCCAGGACAGTAGGTTCCCCCCCCCTTATTGTTTTATTAGGGCCCCCACCCACCGCTCAGGGGTGGAGGCCGGGGGGGAGGAAAGTAGGTCCCCCCCCCCTTATTGTTTTATTAGGGCCCCCACCCACCGCCCAGGGGTGGGGGCCAGGGGGGAGGACATAAGGTATCCCCCCCTTATTGTTTTATTAGGGCCCCCACCCACCGCTCAGGGGTGGGGGCCAGGGGGGAGGACAGTAGGTTTCCCCCCCCCCCTCTCATTATCTTCATGAATGATTTAATCTGGCCAGATGGCCTGATTTTATAGATTTCTGAACACAGACAAGCACGCCCATGACACTCCCACACAAAACAGGATAATCCCTCCCCTATGCCTGGGAGATAATGGAGACAGGGACTGTACAAAACTCAATTATCTCCAGGCACAAAAAAAAAAAAACCACACATTTCACAGACACCCCAAAAGTACATTGAAACTACATGAAAAGCCCACAAAAGTTATATCCCTTGATAGCCCCAATCTGGGTGACCAACATATCCAAAAATCACCCAGATCGGTTCAGGATTTTCATGGAAGTCATAATCTGACCGACCACACACGAGGCTCCTGCCCAAAATAGTTCCAGAGTAAAAGTGGTAGCAGTCGGTCAAGTTCGGTAGTTTAAAACAGAACAAACTACCGAACAGAATCCATTGCCATACCGTGGAGCTTGTTCCCTTCATCCAGACTAACGATCCCACTGAACAGTGTTCTTATAAAACCGAACGCAGACGATCATGGAAGTCCAGCGGGGTTCGGGAGTTTTAGTTCCACGAACTCGACGACCAAACACTGCTGCCTGCGTTTGTGCGAACAAGATGGCCGCCACCACTTGATCGTGCATACGAACAAAGAGTGGCCACCCAGATCAACCATTAGAACACTGCCGTCACATTCTATGTTTCTATAATGGTAATCAATCAAACTTCGAGATCATAAAACAAACTTCATTAATGAAGAAGGTTAGAATATGCTGGGTCATTTTACTTTAGGGTTAATATGCAGCTAAAACTGTTGTGGTGTATGATTTTTGGACTAGAAGAATCATGAACAGAAAACTGACAAGATAATAAGAATTCCGTACTTAAATATGCACACACCTATGCTTTGCAATGACCTGCTGTTTTATAACACACGTGGGTTGGAATTGTGAACACGTGGCAAAGATGTCAGCATTTTTTCACGTGGCAATCTGGAAGAGTTGTGCAAAAAAAAATAAAAATATTCCTTTAGGAAAGCTCTGTTTGGAGAAGGTTTTTGTGTTGAGATGTGTAGACGTTGTACAGCATTTTATATTCGATGAAATCAGTGGAATCCATCACTTTTTGATCTCACCACTAATTTATCAGCAGTGATAATAAGATTTTCAACCGGTCACCCAAAAACAATCCCCTTCAAAAACAGAAAATAATGCATGGTTCTGTACAAAAACAGGTTCTGTTAGCACTACACAACTTAGATAAAATGAAGTGAGGAATCCATAAACTGTTTCTCTTGCACTTCTAAACCTTGTCCGTAAAAAGACAATGCATGACAGAACATTCGAATTCATTACATCCTGTGAAAGACAAAAATGTTTAATTTTATATTGAATTCTACGACAGTCTCACCTGCTCTGCATGCAGCTCTGCAAGATGGCATAAAACCACAGCAAAGGACTCAGTGTTGTTTTGCTGTACACCGACGTTTACAGTATCCAGGCTGTTCATACTAAGAAGCATCTGTGCCTGCTGCAAAGCCATGGTGCTGGAAGACAGGTACAAGCACAGGAAAGGGTAGTGAATTCAAAGAAAATACCGGAAGATGTATTTTTGTTTTACAGGACACAGCAGAGCTATAAGTGCCTAGTAGACTGCTGATCTTGAGGGGAAAATATTTTATTCTAAAGTGTTTGAGTTCAATTTTATCCTAGTAGTGTTTTGCTTATTGGCGAGTACAGTTGGTAAAACTCTACAGATTTTAACTGGAGAGAGGGAAAGTAATTGCAGCACTTGCTATGATGCCTGGGAGGTGACACACAGCATTCAGAGAGTACTCAGTGGTCTACTACACAGGTAGAGTGCTATATATACGGAAGCACACACAAACTGGTTACGATGCACTTGTGATACTAATTAATGGACTTTACTAACTCTTAATGCAAAAACCAGGCAACCCCAGTACACACTAATGTATAAATTGTTTGAATATAATATAGCCTTTCAAGATGGACTTTAGTCAAACCTATATATTACGCTAGTAAATCGGTGATATATATATAAAAAAAAAAATATATGTGTATATATACATTTTTCCCGGGCCGTAAGTGGACTGGATATGGAACGTGATAGGTGCACTATATTAATAACTTTACTACTGAAATCAGTAATGCATGTAAATTGTAATGTAAGCTTGTTTAAGCAGGACCCCCAGCTCCCTCTGTGCTGGTCTTATTGCAAATACTTGTCTGTAAGTCCACCTAATGTACAGTGCTGTAGAAAATGTTGGTACTTTAAATGAGAATATTGTAGCGACAATAAAAATGTGCTTTACTCATTTGATAAACAGTAAGGAGGACGTTAAATAATGTCAATGAATGAAAATAAAGACCCTTACTCTGTCTAGGCTGGATATTGGCGTACACTCCACTGATCAGAGAAAAATCAAGCAGTTCAGCAGGATCCTACCTCTGGCCATACATCCTCCATATGGCTGTCTTTTGAGCCGTGCTGATATCAATTAGTTCAGACAGGCTGTGCTTCCAGTGGAGGAGGTCTGAATCCTTTAGTGCTTCCATCAATCTGTTCGTATTCTTCCCTGCAAAAGCTCTCTGCTGAACTAAAGACTGGATACCAAGGGAAACCAAATACTACAAAACAAACAAAAAAAAAATAAAAAAAAATGGTACAACATGTAAAAATATAATCCGAACAGTTTTAACGTTTCTTAAAAGAAAGTCAAATGTGGAACATGTTTTCCTGATCATTATTCATGGCAGCATTTACTCATGGGTTAGCTCCTCCCTTTACAGCAGAAAGGACAGGAAACAGAACTTTGAAACTGGTATAAATAGATCCTCCCCCTTCCCATCAGGCAGTCTTTTTTCCTGTCCTTCACAGCAGTTTGGAAGGAGTCTGCTTATGCAGGCCTAGATTTTTTCTTTTATGCTCACCAGGCTATATTTTTTAGGCCCTGCCGGGGTTCAGCCTCTAAGCCCTGAAGATCCAGCAAAAAGCACTAAGATGAAGTGGCTAGCCTGGGTACCCCGTTTAGTGACCAGGGGTCGGACCCAACCTCTCCCTGAAGGGATGAAAATGGTCCACTGCATGCCAGGGTTCAGCCTCTTATCCCTGAAGACCCAGCAACAGGCCAGCTTGGGTACCCCCTCAGGAGATGTATGTGATATACTGCCTACATGAAGCCAGGCCAGGGTTCAGCCTCTTACCCCTGAAGACCCAGCAAACAGCATACCGGTAAGAATTGCCAGCCTGGGTTCCTACTCCTGCAAACAGGGGTCTGTCCTATCTCTCTTGGAAGTGATGAAAGTAGTCCACTGCATACATGAGGCCCAGTTGAGTCTAAGCCCTTATCCCTGAAGACCCAGCAAACAGCACATGTGTAAGAGTTGCCAGCCTGGGTACCTCCTTCAGCAATCAGGAGTCTAACCTATCTCTCTCCCTGAGGGGATGACGGCGGTACACTGCATACATGAGGCCCAACAGAGTTGTGACTACTGAGGTATACCTATTCTATGTATTCCACCTTGTATGGTGATGATGAACGGCATATGGGGTACAGATGGAAGCCTATAGTTTAAACAGTTTAGGCTGTCAGTTGTTCAAATCCCCATTTTGCCACTGAAACACAGGCCTGCAACGGTTCAGGTAAGTGCATTAGTAATTTAGATTAAAACTGGTATAGGCACCTGGGTCTCTGTTCTTTCAGTCCCTCCCAGCTGCTTACATTAGGCTTCCTTCTAACAAATAGGTCACATTTAGGAGATTTGTGTGGTGAGCATTTAGGTAAGTTTATACAAGAATGTTTGGTGCAAAAGAGTGCTGATAATACAAGTATGCATTGGGCAAAGTAGTGCTGATAATGCAAGGAGGCATTGTGCAAAGGAGTGCTGATAATGCAATGAGACATTGTGAAAAAGAGTGCTAATAATGGATATCCTGGCTGTATGAAGACTGCTGGAATTCCACAGCCTGAACACAGAGAAATATCCAAGGTAAGAGAACTTTCTTGGGTGTCTGATTGAAGTACACACATGTATATGACCGGTTTTAAAAACCTACCTCTAAGTACACACACACACACACACACACACACACACACACACACACACTTGTTTCTATCAAGGCATGTGGCATTGATTGCTGTTATCTGTCCATTATCACAAATAAGCAGGCTTTGCAGACAGTGGAAGAATATACTGCATAGGAGACCACTGGGCCTCAGTATCTGTACATAAACTGGTGGTGGTACAGCATCGGTATGTTTCCACTATATGCTATAATGTATGAAGTCTCAGTGTGTGTCCAGTATATGCTCTATGTATGAGTCACTATGAGGACACAGCTTCAGTATATATATATCCACTATATGCTCTATGTATGGGTCACTATGAGGACACGGCCTCAGTATATGTACCCACTATATGCTCTTGGTATAAGTTACTATGAGGACACGGCCTCAATATAAATTATTTATATATCCTATTAACATTTTTGATAAAGCCTTATAGGTGAAACGCGTTAATGGTTTTAAATTGTGTATTTTATAACAATAAAAGTTATTTTTGGTTACTTTTTTATAGGACCAATCTTTTACTTATTTTATTGTATTTCATATACACTTTTACTATTATTATTCCTGGCATTTTTTATTTTTATTCTTATTGTATCCCGTTCCAAGAAATCCATAGGTGGGGATAATTCCACCAGCGCTGTGGCCATAGAGCAGTATTTTCTGCTCTACTCTTGTGAGTATATTTTATTTTATTGTTCTTACTGAGAGCACTATTTGCTGTTTCTTATACCTTGTGGAATACGACGGAACCCAAGCCGGACGGACGGACGGACCTACCCTTCCAGAACATCCTTTAGTGGGGATTATACCACTAAGTGCCCTTCACCCCAGAGCTGGCCCTAGCTCCATCAAATGTGAATGTACAATCCTCCTTTTTACTTATTTTTACCCTTGGAGCTACAATATTTCACCATTGGCAGTTTTGTGTGTTTTCTTTTATCTTCACATATACGGATTATCTACAACCCGGACGGATCAACTCCTGAGGATTGTACACATACCCTATCCATATATCAGTGAGACTGTTTTTATTCAATATTTTCTTATTTGATCTTTACTGAACATCTGGATGGACTCTGTTTTATTCATTATTTTTATATAATTGCAATAGAGACTATTATACCCTGGTTTTATCACTTGCTGATTATACACTTCAACCAATTGGTTTCTATTTTATGATACTGCTCTCTGTACAATAGCGCAGCCCTTAACTCCTTTTTTCTTCACACACACAATATATATATATATATATATATATATATATATATATATATATATATATATATATATATATATATATATATATATATATCCACTATATGCTCTATGTAAGAGTTACTGTGAGGACATCGCCTCAGTATAAGTATCCTCTATATGCTCTCTATAGGAGTTACTATGGAGGACACAGCCTCAGTATATGTATCCACTATATGCCCTATGTAGGAGTTACTATGAGGACACAGGCTCAGTATACGTACCTACTAGAGGCTCTATGTATGAGTTACAATGAGGACTCTGCCTCAGTATATGTACGAGTTACTATGAGGACACAGCGTGTGTGTGTGTATATATATATATATATATATCTCCACTATATTGTCTATGTATGAGTTGATTGGGAGACTCTGCCTCAGTGTGTGTTCTTTATATGCTCTGAGTCGCTGTGAAAACACAGCCTCAGTATATGTCCTCTACATGCTCTATAGGTAAGATGGTGTGGAGACATTGCTTCAGTGTATCTGTTCTCTATAATGATTGATGTATTAGTGAAAACACTATATATGTGAATGATATAAGTACATCCGCTATAGGAGTTCAATCTAATACTGGTTCTATGTGTGGGTTGTGAGTCACAACCTCAGTATATGTGAGTGGTATATTATGTGCATGAAGTTCTGTTAAAACACAGCCTCAATTTATCTCACTCATATAATCTTAACATGTGTACAGGCATAGTGTCACTGTATATAGCAGATGTAGGCTATGTATGATTACTGTTTAAACAGACTCCGTATATGTGACTGATATATCTGTGTATAAGGTGCTGTCAGAAACATCCACAATGTATGTGATTCATATAATCTGTATGCAGGTTGGTAGTATTAGATAACCCCAATTTATGCACGGCATTGGTAGATTTAATAATACAAATGATCTAAGGTCTGTTTTGCGCTGAAATGTAACAATGCCCAGTTCTAGCAAATACAAATGCACTGTTGTACTGGGTAAGTAATAATTGCCTACTGTGGATTTTCTATTTCAGTTTTTTAAATGAAGTAGATAAGGAAACATACTGCTTTTGGCTTTGTATTAGATTCCTTCTCCCACAGGTGTTTCAGGATAAGCAATTAACACATTTTACCACTTCAGATAGATTGCAGGTGTTACTGAACCTGTCTGAGTGCCTCTCCCAGGACAGAAGGAGACCTGATTTCCAAAATGGAGCATGGTAATGTTTAACAGAATCAATGGTTATTTTTTTGTGGGTGCACTCCTATGTATTTATACATGAGACCCATCTACAAAAGTTTTTCTATTGCCAGGCATCCTCTCCTCTCTGTCCAAGATAGGGAATGTGTTTTCAATTGGTGACAGTGTTTTACCTTCAGATATATGCTGATTACTGATGGACAGCTTAGTAGATCATACTGATTGCAGGAGCACAAATTGGGCTATTAATTGATCTCATAAGTAGGTAACGCTGAAGCCATTACCGGATTTAAAAGCTGTTAATACTGGTTTTTCTTTCACCTGGTCATAACCTATTATTCTTTAAATTTGAATTAATTTCCTTAAAGTATAAATTTTATATTCAGTATGCTCTTTTATCCCTTGGGGACCTGAAAGTTTGGCAATCCCTTTAGTATATGTCAGGAGTAGCATGCTTTTGGTTCTTAAGGAGTTAATGATCAGAAACTTCTGACCGATTCCCCTGTTGTGAAGGGGAACATTATAATTTCCTTTCTGCAATAAAGGTATTCTTTTAGGCTCTCATGCTCCAGGTAACTTTGATGCTGTGTATTGCAAGTATTTTAAGGTCTTTCCAGTCCCCAGACCATTCTATCAGGTTTACTATTTCAGGTAAAATTCACCTGCTGCCTGAACAATAGAGGAAATCCCTAAACAGGTAGTTCCATTACTGACTTCTCTTCTGATATTCATGGGGATTCTTCTAGGTGTCCTTATATCTGGGATTTGCAACCAATGTGTGGCTTTTAATGATTGATTCATCCTGCATAATATAATGTAATGCAGCTTGTTGATGACAAACATTTGACTGATATGTTTTACATGGTCCCTGTACCTAGATCTGGATAAGTTATGGTCACTCCTAACATTGCATTGATTTAATACTTGTGGATTATATGCTTGGATTGGTGTTATCATCTTGCAGATATAACAAGCTGCTTATTATCACCATAGGCTCGGCCATAAGTACTTCTTCACTATCTGAAGATAAGGTAGGAGTAAGTAGGTGGTGGTTGTTCTCATAAGGATAACTGAATATCTTCTACTATCCTGCTTACTATGTGTCTATTGCCACAATGTATAATGTGCCTCTGGTTACCACCTTCCCATCAGTATCATGCCTATTACATATCTCTTACTTATGTTGCACAACAGTCTTTAATAAATTTGATTATACTGTTTGGCATAATCTGTACTATTTACAAATGTAGGTACTGACGTGGTTGGCCTCCTTATAATATAATAGTTGCCACAAATTCTACGGTTCATACCGATATTTCTTTTTTTTCCCCTCAACTAATCTGTATATGATTCTTCTTGCCTTTGCCTAGTAATGTTATTAGTTTATTCCTCTCCTGTGACTGATCATTGCTGTATCAATTCATCCACGGTGTGAGGTACTGTTGTGAATCTGAATTTAGCAATATCGGATCATTGTTGCAGTGTTTTAATAACAGACTCTTATTTCTCTACTAGGCTCTGCCTCTTTCTGACAGGCAGATAATGATGTCCCGAACGGTTCGCCGAGGCAGCAGACCCTCCCTCCCAGACAGCATCCATTTTACATTCATTGTGAAGCTGCATTCTTAGTGAGCTGTCCAGGAGGAGGGAGGGTCTGCTGCTGATTGGCTGGAATGAGTCTGCTGACTGTGAGGTACAGGGTCAAAGTTTATGTTTATGTTCGCCGTCCGCGGCGAACCGTTCGGAACATCACTACAGGCAGATATTGATTTGTTCCTGTATCTTCAGGTAAGTAGTTCACAAGGCAAGAGGAAGCAGTGTGAATCGTATTTAATAAATACATCCAGTAAGTAGTAGGATTCTCAGTGTAATTCTCCCCGTGTTTAATAGCATGGTGTGTCCGTTCTCATCCAACAGTATCGGCTTGTTCCAGTATGATCTCTGGAAGTTATGCCTTTGTAGAGGTACTGATTTCATGATCAATTTGGTTTTAGATTTTATATCAGAATGACATTATCCTTCTCTAGCTTATTCTATCATGGCTTTAATTCCTAACTGACTCTATATTTATTCAGGATATTTCAGATATTGAATGCCAGGAGGTTGCTGACCTTGCAGCCTCTAAGGAAAATTATCTTGTCTGAGCAGATTTTATGACAATTTGAACACTGTCCCTTTTTTTTATACATACACACACACACACACACACTGCTTAGGTATCCCCCATGAGTAAATGCTGCCATGGATAATGGTCAGGAAAGTGGAAAATTGTTTCATACTTACTGTAATTTTTTTCCCCTGATCATTATTCATGGCAGTGTTACGTTCCCACCCATATAGTATGCGAGTTGTGAAGCTAGTTACAAAGACTGCCTGATGGGAAGGGGGAGGATCTATTTATACCAGTTTCAAAGTTTTATTTCCTGTCCTTTCTGCTGTAAAGGGAGGAGCTAACCCATGAGTAAATGCTGCCATGAATAATTATCAGGAAAAGAAAATTACGGTAAGTATGAAGCAATTTTCCACTATAGTACTGTAACTTTAACAAACCCAACAATTTACTGGAAACATTCTCTAAGTCAGCTACGCTTTCAGTTCGCTACTCTGGCCTTAAAGTTGAAATTTACTCATTGCGAATGGGAGTAATAAATCTTCAGATATTCTACATTGCAATTCATATTAATTTCAATGTTTGGACTTCCCTAAAGTCTTCATTCTGCCCATATCAGCTCCAACCCTTACAAACCAAACTAACTTTGAACCTTCAAAAGGACACTCCGGTCACCAATATTTATTTAATGCATTTGATAGGTTTATCAAATGCATTAAAGTTGTGTGGAGTGTCCCTTTACTGATATTCCTGAACAGTTTAATATAGCCAGAGTAATTCCACAGTACATTTGTTTTAAATAGTATAACATTACCGGTCTCCACTTTCTCTCAGCAACCCATATCCTTCTAAAAACTAAAACTTTACTTGTGGTCGGAAACCATAGCCGATCGTGATAAGTATTATTATACTACAAGTCGGTGGTGGTGTGCCTGAACTGACGAGTGTTTAGGCCTGCAATAAAGAGGGCCCAACTGATTAGAGTGAAGATATTTAAATATTAACCAAAAGGGTGGGAGGGTAATGCTGAAACTTGAGTGCAGGTTAGGGTAGGAGGTATGGGTTTAAATAGGCCGGACAACACCTCCCACAACTACAGGCTAACGCCTTTACATTTGTGGTCGGAAACCATAGCTGATCGTGAATAAGTATATTATACTATAAGTAACACAGTTTCTTCCTCTGCCCTTGTTCTCCTCGATTACTAAAAATGGTTTAGCTCTTATGCTCACTTTTTGGATAAACTTAAAATGCATACATTTTTCGAATTTTTAAAAATATATATTTATTAATGGAAAAAAACTACAAAAAACAACCCCATCTCCCCAACATTTTACCCCGAAATATTAAATCAAGGTCAATGTCCTTTAACATTGGAACTTGAGATAAAGGTCTACTTACTGGTAGGTTAAAATGTATGGCTCGCTTCACAGAATGTTCAAGAAACACACTGCTGTCTGCTCCTTTCCTCTGCATCAGGATATAGAGCCAACTCTGAAGGACAATAGTGAAGACATGTTAAACAGATTTTTACATGAATATGAACAAGACATGGAACTGGAAACAGAAAGTGACTCAAGTAATACTACAGAACTGGTATACTGGTCACAAAATATGTAAAACATTGTAATTTATTTTGCTAAAGGAAAAGCTAAAACCCTAGGGGAAAAAAAAACGTGGGTAACCCTCTAGCTGGAATAAATAAAAAGAGTAAAAACTCAAAAAAAATAAATAAATAAATAAAAAAAACCACAAAAAAAAACACGAATAAATATAACTAAAATGTGATTATTTTTTTTTTATACATACAAAACAGTATAATGTGTGTGTGGTTGCATCCATTTATTAAAAGTTATGTTTTGAAACAATTTTTTTTTTTTTTTTTTTAAATAGATTTTTATCCAAAAATGAAAATACAACTGCATCGCTAAGGTAATTTTGCAATAAAAAAAAAAATTTAAAAAAAAAAATCACCTTCCATTATCCCTGAACTGGTTATTTCATTTTGAAACTATTTTGAATTTCAAACGTGTACAAGACAGCTTTCTTTATCAGGCACTTACCAGGCAGTGCTGTAAGCACACGTGGTCACTCGCTTCTTGTGCAATTCTGATGGCTTCCTGCAGTGCTAGTTCGGCTTGGTGACTAGAACCAGAATTTAAAAAAATAAAATAAAAAATAAATGGACATTGAATAGTGAAAACAGTTTAATAAAATTAACTATAAGGTGACAACAAGCAGCCACCTATTAGCCTGAACAATGAGTTTCTCTAGTTACTTGCTTTAGCCATTTGTCTTAATTTTTTGTTGTTTAATTTACTGCATATCCCTGTTCTTGACATCCAGTGGTACTAACGCCCAATGTCTGGGTAGATCGAAGTGATGAGGAGTTGTGTCATCTCCAATATTACACTGTTTTACAGGCATGTCTTAATCTCCAAGCCTAGCCAGCATATCCCGTATTTTAGTGTTGCATTTATTTTTCCAGACATGTCAATCTTGCCTACTATAGCCTGACATTGTTATTTTACAAAATGAGGTATTACCAATCATCTTTGACTGCTAAACCATGACTGTACATTGTGTTTTTGATTTCTCTCTTGAATTTTATTTTACTTATCTCAATGTAAAAAAATAATTTTTTTTTTAAAGATTTAAAAAAAAAAAAAAACGTTTATGCTATAAATACGTTACACTTCAATCAAGCGAAAATTAAAATAATCAGGTACAGGAGGCTCCTGCATTCTAGTAACAGTGCATGTGATAAATTCTAAATTGAACAGAATTTTCAATAAAGGAAGTGTAAACAGATGACTTTCAGGAAGTGTTGAGGAAGGCTGTGCAAGTCACATGCAAGGAGGTGTGACTAGGGCTGCATAAAGAGAGTGATTTCACTCATAAATGGCAGAGAAATAAGCAGTGAGACTGCAGGGCATGATCTATACAGCAAAACTGCTTAATTATGCAAAGTTGTTTCGGTGGCTACAGTGTCCCTTTACAATTTATACTTTACCCCAATAAACAGTGCTTATTGGAGGTGAATAGAAACACAAAACAGAAAAAAAAAATAATGTAACAATTCCAGTGAATGTCCTGTAAGAAAAATCTGTTACATCAATACATTACTATTAGTTACATTCTGCTGTGAGAAGTTTTCACCAAAACATACTAGTGTCCAAAACGGCAATGCAGGGCAGCCAGATTAAGAGCAGCATATCGAAGGCTCCTTCCATATCCCTCGTCCCCATTACTTTTACTTTCTGCACCTGTGAGAATCAGGCGGTCAAAGTAATGCAGGAGGCTGTGTGTTGAGCTGAACACGTCTTGGACTCGCAAGCTGTTTAAATAGCTCAGATAATGCTGAAAATAGAGGAAGGAGGTATTTTACATATTTTTAATTCAGATTTTTTGTTTGTTTGTTTAAACTAATGTGCAATAATAAAGTGCATTACTAAGTGCAATTTGCCAGCCTTGAAAACAAACTCTGCTCGAACCAATATGATATAGGATTCAAGATAAAGTTGGTAACAACTCAGTGTTTAGACAAAAGGCAGTTCACTTCAAAGAAAAGATAAGGAGTTTAGGCTAGAGGGGGTTGGGGATAGCATTAAGGTGATTTAGGGTAGAATGTACTGTCAATTAAGTGGATTTTGATATTTAATATTTTTGATACAAGACACCCACTAAAGTGATAGGTCTACTTGCATGGTGGTGAAAAGTCCTGCATTATGTCAATTTTTTCTGGGATGGCACTAAGTAGCATAAGTGAAGTCAGACTTCTTAAAATTGATTTCTTGCCCAAATACGATTATTATTATTTATGGTGTTAAACAGGTCATGGAATGCTCATTGGGCTAGGGGTTCATTACATTAGCTTAAAAGGGCAGAGTCCAACAAATCAGGGAGCAGAGTGAAATTCGGTGGTTAGAGCCACCTGTAAAGTTCATTAGTCAACACGGTGTGTAATGCAATACATTGTATATATGTATTCGAATTTAACAGTGAAATTAAGACTCACAGCTTCAGCAAAATCTGGATTAAACTTCAATAGATTGTTCAACTCTTTTTGCAGCAAGACAGGTGTGAAGGCTTTGCTCTCATCATTCTTCAATAAAGAAGCCTGAAAATTTGATAATTAAATAAATGCTTTCAAATATTGTTTTCTCATTGTCCACCTACCTTGTATCTAAGAATCCATAAAACCTACTTGCTACACTCTACACGACAAGTACTCTAAAAATAATAATAATATAACTAGTTTCTAATAAAAAGGAGTCAAAAGAAAGCCTCTAAAGTCAAAATGTAAGAGGTATATCAATTAAAATCACATTCAAATATTTTTTCTCTGCAAAATGGTAAGAAATATTGTAAGAAATATTGTGCCACTAATTAACCCAAAACTCAACCCATTAGCTCAAAACGGATTAGTAACTAGATTAGTCAGGAGGTGATGATTTACATGCTGGTAATGGAAGGCACAGTATACAAGGTTAAGTAAAATAAACAATGCTTAATATTACATTTAAGTCAATTGTTCTACTAAAGAAAGAAAAAAAAAAAAAAAATATTCTGGTTTCACCCATGCGGGTAATCCAAATTTTTAGTCACACCCCTAAAGACTATTTTACTGTAAGCGATATTCAAGGATACTCTCATGGCTATAATATAAAAATATAGATGATCAATAAATCTCAATAGTTAGTTCTGAATTGAGACCAAAAGGTTTAAGTGGCAAATTATTTGTTGTTAACATAAATACTTAAATCAAGAAGTTTCCTTTAGAATTGTAAAAAGCAGAGTGGAGTGCTCAGTGATGTATTGTAGGAAAATCCCAGTGCTGATGTAAGCATTAACATCAGCTGAAAGAAGAGAACAGGAAAAAAGTTCAAAACGTTAAACATTTTGACTATTTACATTGGTGGACACCAGGGAAAGCCTGGTACCATAACCACTACAGCTAGATGTAGAGGTTGTGGTGCTTGGAGTGTCATTTTTTAAAATACTGATTACTCTCCAAGGCCCCCTGACTGAAGCTACACCCAAGCCCTAAACCCCTAAGTTGTACAGACAGCACCGTGTAGGCACAGTTGTACCCCATGGCTTTACTGGTGGTACCGAAAATTGTTTCTTATTTATGATATAATTGCAAGATGCTAAAGCACTGAAGATATAACATGCATCAATCTTCAATTTCAAAGTTTTAGAAATTGGTTGTAACTTGCCCTCTGTTTTTACAAAAACTTGGCAAAAGCACACACGGGGGTATTGTAATCAGGGGATGCAGTTAAGCATATTTAAGTGAATTTTACTACATTTGCACATAAAAGGTTTAAACAATATACAGCAAATCTCTTACTCTACTCTATTCTGTCTACCTTTACTTATCTTTCGGTATATGTATACTTGATTAATTATTTGGAGTTCAGATACCTGGCGATTTACCATGATATTTTCATGCACTAATCATCAAAGTGCTTTCTCAGGTAACCCAGGGTACCTCCTACTTTGAAATTTATACATATATATATATAAAAAAAAAAAAAAGGCTTGACAGGAACAATAGGGAATCAGGGCCCTGCAGGAAAAAAATTACAAGAAAAGGGCTATGGCTATATACCTGCTGAGAGAGGAAATATTCTGCTTGTTTCTGGGATAGAGGTCCGTTGCAAGCCAACTCTTCTTCCCTAGAAAAGATATATTAAAAAAAAAGAAAAAAAAAAAAAAAAAAAAAAAAAAAAAAAAAAAAAAAAAAAAAAAAAAAGAAAAGAAAAATCAATAAAATAAAAATATAAATACCAAAAAAAAAAAAAACAACACCTACCTATCAAGTGAATATGTAAGTACAGTCATAAGTGGTCAGGGATTTACTAAGATAGTGTGGCAAGGGGTATACAATTATTAGCTATGTATCAGGTATACTCTAAATATATGCAGTCAGCCGCTCCATTGATCCAATTTCTCCTCTCTTCTACCTCCATTTTTCACCCAGAGAACAGGGATCATGGATCTGGTGTCATTAATGGTCTACCACAGAAGGGGACATAAACCTGTAGTTCATCTAGTTGCTCTAAAAAGAATTCATAAGAAGTAACACAACTAATGGTGATAAATTATGTGTAGGTGAGAGTTTGCCAATTTGTGAGACGAAGTAGCACGATTCCTCTCGAGCTTGAAATTACACGACATTATTCAAAATATTAGAATGTGTGTTTCTTCTTCTCCCTCCCAAGTTATCCAAATACAGCAAGCAGATGGGTTCTTTAATTATACTAGCAGCCAGACACCTGATTGCCCTCAATTGGAAAGGACATGCCCCTCAAAAGCACACTTATTTTACACATAAGTATGCATGGCTGTAAACTGTCCCAAAATGTACGAATCCTTTCAAACTGCATGGCAATCAAGTGTAGAATACTATGGACAAATGGGTTAAATTACATAAAGGTGCTATACGGGCTGAAAGACAGGGTATACATATATTTGACAGTTAAACCGAAGACGCTGTGTCAGGTCTAAGTGCTAGCACATGACCAAGGCACCATAATTTGAAGACTTTAATGTCTCCCTCGTATGTTTAATGAAAGCCAGAAATTCTGAGTGACCCAACTGTTCAAGCAATTAGTCACAGATGAAAGTGACTAATGCCTACTGTTAATTTAAAGTTTTATCTTGATTTGTATGAACACTGTTGATATATCTTGACATAAATATTCTCATTGTACTGGGCAGAGATGAGCTGCTCTTCACTTGAGTTCTTATACTTGTAAAATCTTAATAAAAAAAAGTATATGAAAAATAAACCGAACACGGCACTGCTTAGGAACATCTGGCTTTCTGAAGATGGTAGTGGATTTGAGGAGCAACGAGCTGTAGTGGATATTGCGCTTGGCTGTTTAATAAACCCCATAGATGAACAACAGCAAACAGGAAAGGGATGTGTGTGGTTAAGGACTGCTTACCCAACCAAACAGTCTCATCAATTCTATGTTTAATAAAATGTTAACAAATAAATCTAGTTAGCATGTTATATTTTATCTATATTGTGTGGTCATATGTAAAACAGTCAGACCAAAAGTACAGTTTAAAAAGCATATACAATTATATTTCATAACTTAAATACAACGATTTGCATTATTTCATCAATGTAAAAACAAAACAAAACTCTGAAATGTATACTTTCAAACAGAGACATTTCATTCCAATTATTTAAGCTGCAAGTCCCTTATTTATAGTGAGATTACCCAATGGGAAATTCTAGATCCTCTTTCTCCATCTTGCCTTCTTCTTCGTCATCATCTTCAGAATTGGTCAGCTCCATCTCTGCTTCGTCATTGTCAGCCTTGGAGACTGTTTTTTTCTTTTCACACTGGTAATAATTCTGCAGTGATGTATACAGCTTGTACACCTGGCTAAATGAAAGTTTGTTGTATGCCAAGATCATATGTCGGATGAACAGCCCTACAAATTGAAATACAATTAGAAGTGATTTATTTGTATTTTACCATCAAAACCTTCTGCAATATCAATAATAAAAATATTAAAGAGAATAGGTCCAAGTACAGATCCCTGAGGTACCCCACTGGTGACAAGCCCAAGCTTTGAATATATTCCATTGACTACAACCCTCTGTTGCCTGTCACTCAGCCACTGCCTTACCCATTAAACAATATTGGAATCCAAACTTAAAGATTGCAGTTTATTGATAAGTCTTGTATGTGCGACAGTATCAAAAGCCTTACTGAAATCTAGGTAAGCAATGTCTACTGCACCACCCTGATCTGTAATTTTAGTAACCCAATCAAAAAAATCAATAAGATTAGTTTGGCATGATCTCCCTGAAGTAAACCCATGTTGTCTCTGATCTTGAAATCCATATGTTTTTAGATGTTCAACAATCCTATCCTTTAACATGGTTTCCATCACTTTCCCCATTACTGAAGGCTTACTGGCCTATAATTGCCCGACTCCTCCCTATTACCTTTCTTGTGAATGGGCACAAGAATGGGAATAGAGAGCACTGGATTGGCAGATAGCAGTGATTGCCACACAATCACCACAAGTCTTTCTAAATTATGTACCGTTGTTTTACTTTTTGACTACTTACACAGAAGAGATTTAATTTTTCTCAAATGAAATATTGAAGCCTGTCAATCATCCACTAGGGATAATCTTTCTCCAAAAATATCTGATTTAATTCCTGGGACTGTTGTAGGAACATCACTTCAGAAGTACCATATCTATGTAATCTTACGAATTGACTCACTGGAACAATTTTGATTAAATGGAGGGGGTGTTAACTGTTAACATATGCAAAACTGTATAACCACAGTTGGATTTTGTGTGCATATGTTTAAATGGACTTATCGCTATGAGCAGATAGTTTAACATCTAGAAAATCCGCTTTCTGTACAGCAGTAGCCATCGAGATTCATGTTATGGTTGTTAAAGCTTCCAAATGAAAATTAGATCATCAATTAAGCTCATACTTCCAAAACCACGGGACTCCTCCCAGCACCCCATATAAAGAGGTTGGCTTAGGATGGAGCAAATTTTTCAGATTAGAAATCACATTTGCCTGTGTGAGTGAATCTGTGCTGCACAGTCCTTGCCTAGTCCAGTGTTGTGAGCGTGTTGAGAGGAGAGAAAAAACAATTCCCAATACTTGAACATAAACTGAAGCACTGTTAAACCCATTATTTAAAAAAATAATAATTCTGAATTCTGATTCAGGGTGAAACACAATACAATATATAACTTGTTGTTTAGTGAGTAACTCCTTTAATATTTTCCAAACTGTTGCTCCTTTGCTTTAAAACAAAGGAGATATATTCCAAACATAATCGCACGGATTAATCGCCGGTTATTGCTGCATGCATTTGCCAGAAACAGATTTGTTGCACAATACCATGCTGCTTCATTGGACCATGTCTGTCTCACCTCCCTTCACTCCCAATATGGCCGATTCTTATGATGAACATAAATAGTTAATACATTTTATTGACTGGAGCATTTCTGAATGTCAACCAGCGTTGGGAATTACTACCTGAAGACTTTCCAATTCTGTCTGAAGAAGTCTATAAAGTCTGCACCTTTAGTGATCATTGAGAACAGAGTTTGAATGCAGTGTTCTAAAGGACATAATAATCCAGCAGTTTGATAAATGCTATTTATCAAACCAGGTACCCAAAACAATCATATTCATCTTCTACAGAAAGCAGTACCTACCAACAACACTTGTTTTGTGTACTTCAGGCTCTGGTCCTGTGAAGGAATCCGCAAGATCATCAAAAAAGAGCTCCATGTCCTTTAGCTCTCCTTCAGCCATCAGCTTTATCCTAAACAAAACAGAGATTGCATACTTTTTCTGTCACAATTGTTGAGGTTAGAGTTAGACAATCATGCACAGGGATATATGACCCCCCTTAAAAATATAGATAGGTTTTATATATAGAGACAGAAAGATTAACAAAACAGACAACAATACAAGAAACAAACAAAATACCTTATTTGCAGCGAACTTGCAACATTTGGACAGCCATCGTCTATAATTTTGATCAGCTTTGCAAGTGACATATCTGGTCCCTAGTATTGCAGAGAGATTGTGCATGTGTTTAGCAAGAGTTGGCATGTGTAAAAAATGTTCAAGCATTAAACTAGATTAAAACACACAAAAGGATAAAAGAATGCTTGCCAATATATTAAAAGTTCAACACTTTAAATATCTAGATGACACCGAGATGCAACATAAATATTAATCTTCAGCTATTGTTACTAATCGACAAAGAAATCCATTATGATAGACGTAGTTACCCAGCTTGTACTCAGCTTGTATTGTTAACCTAAAAAATTGTGCGTTTGATCTGAATGCTGTACAACAGTCAACTAATATGTGTTTTCAAATTGTTTAAGAATACTGTTATGGCATTGATGACATGCGAAAGTTATTTCATGCACAGCAAAAATAAAGAATTTAAAAAAAAAAAAAATTAAAAAAAAAGTTCAAATATTTAATGAATGAAAATTACTTTCCATGAAATCTGCGGGGGAGGCAATGATGAAACCACTCACGGCAGGACATGATCTAAATCTAAATACCATGCAATTTGTATAAACATTTTATCCTTTTTAAAACTGTGGGTGTTTTCGATAAGAACTGGTATAAGCAGATGTGTATAGAAATGGGATAGCTATAATCCATTTGTAATTTCAGTGACATATTACAGAAAAGTATATAGTCTTTTCTTTAATAGTGACTTGTGCATTCTGAACGCAATGAAAGAAATCACATTTAGATTTAAAAATATGCCTGTCTGGCCCTCCAACAATTAATGAAAACTGTACACCAACAACTGGAGTGTCAAGTTTAAAAAATTAAAATAACAGTGATATTAATTTAATTTAGGAGCGCTCTGATATTTTTACATTTTATGCAACTTAGCATTGGTATGAATTATTTATAATGCTGCTAACACACTCAATGTGTTGTACCACCAACACACAAATCAAAATCAAACGAAAAAGAATATAAATAAGAGCAGTATAATAAAATGAACATTTTAGGTGATAAACCCAAAACCAAGTATAAATTGTGAAACATTTTAGAATGTTGTAGTATTACTCAATGGTCAGTAGATGGCCCCAAGGTGACATCTCACCGCACGTGTAAAGAAAATGCATAAAGACACATAGTGGTGCAGATTGCTTTAAATGAGAAATGCTTTCAACCTCATCATTAATGTACCAAAATTCTCATTAAATTACCCAAATAATTAGGAAAATCAGGTTTCTGTCATATAATGATAAAGCTTTGTTATAAACACAGTGCAAACAAATTGATTAAAAACTCTGTGATCATAAAAGATATACAGACGGTCTCTTACAAGAGAACGTGGTGAGTAGGCTCGGCATACGCCGTTACTCACTGCCATTCTTTGTTTGTAAATTTTTTGTTTGTATGACATCAAAGGGGGCGGAGACTACAGGAGCTTGGAAATACCACGCTCATATCGCTCGGGCTGCACTGAAGCCGGATTACTGCATTCCGTATGTTACAGCTACAGAGAGCCAGTGTCTCCAACTCCACAACTAGATACACTACAAACAAAGCTTGGCAGTGAGTAACGGCGTATGCCGAGCCTACTCACCATGTTCTCTAGTAAGAGACATTCTGTTTATCTGTTATTATCACAGATTTTTTTAAAGGACCACTCTAGGCACCCAGACCACTTCAGCTTAATGAAGTGGTCTGGGTGCCAGGTCCTTCTAGGGTTAACCCATTTTTTTTATAAACATAGCAGTTTCAGAGAAACTGCTATGTTTATTAATGGGTTAAGCCTTCCCCTAATCCTCTAGTGGCTGTCTCATTGACAGCCACTAGAGGCGCTTGCGTGCTTCTCACTGTGATTTTCACAGTGAGAGCACGCAGCGCCCATAGGAAAGCATTGATAATGCTTTCCTATGCGACCGGCTGAATGTGCACGCAGCTCTTGCCGCGCGTGCGCATTCAGCCGACGGGGCGGAACGGAGGAGGAGAGAAGGAGGAGAGCTCTCCGCCCAGCACTGGAAAAAGGTAAGTTTTTACCCCTCTCCCCCTTCCAGAGCCGGACGGGAGGGGGTCCCTGAGGGTGGGGGCACCCTCAGGGCACTATAGTGGTCCTTTAATAAATTTTTTGCATTTTTTTTATAACAGAGCTTTATCATTATATGACAGAAACCTGTTTTCCTTAATCTAATTATTTGGGGAATTTTGGTACATTAATGATGACGTTAAAAGCATTTCTCATTTAAAGCAAATTGTACTACTATGTGTCTTTATGCATTTTCTTTGCACGTGCGGTGAGATGTGTCAACCTGGGGCCATCTACTGACCACTGAGTATTACTACAACACTCAAAATTTTCACAATTTATAGTTGGTTTTGGGTTTATCACCTTTTTTTACTGCTCCGCTCTTATTTACATACCTTTTTTCATTTTACTTTGTGACTGTGAGGATATTGTCTCAAAATGACAAAATAAATCCCCCAAACCCTTCATTCCAAATATTATCTTGATCAAGGTTACATTTAAAGAAACCCAAAACACTTTAACTACTACAGCCCACTTTAGAATGGTTTGACAACTTGCCTGGTCTGCATTAGGTTGTCTTCCGCAGGAGAAGCTAGATTCCAACTGACTTTAGCCTGGCAGATCCAAGATCACACTTACTGGCTGACAGCCCTCAGCTGATGCATGATTAAGGCTCTTAGGAGCCGAAACGTCACAGTTATTTTGGTCAGATGGTGAACCCACAAATAAATTCACCTTCTATATCCTGGAGTGCTGCCTGTGTTTCTCTTCTTTGATACTACATTGGTGTATTCAGCGGTGTCCATCCTACACACAGAGCGACCCCTTGGTGGAAGGCCGGAGCATATGTGCACCCGAGTGCAGGGTATTCTGTTTTTTGTAGGACTCAGCTGACTATCTTGGACAATGTGAGTGACCCTGCCTAGCTAAATGAGACAATTCTGAAGCAAGGGCTGTGGCTGTGGGAATCCAGCAGAACCCAGGTATTTGCAAACTATTCTAAAACGGTTAGACCAATTATAGTGGCAAGATGCCAGGGCACTTGCATTAGTCTTAAGTGGTTATGGTGTGTGGAATTTTCTTTTTTATGCATGTGCTTTACATCTGTATACAAGTATTTGCAAGAAAGTATTTACATTTTTGCATGTGTCAGTTAATTGTGTGAAAACAACTATTTAACCCCTTAAGGACCAAACTTCTGGAATAAAGGGGAATCATGACATGTCACACATGTCATGTGTCCTTAAGGGGTTAAAGGGACATTAAAACCGCTTTCGTGCATAGATCATGCCTCTGTAGTCTCACTGCTCAATCCTCTGCCATTTAGTAGTTAATTAACTTTCTTTATATAGCCCTAGTAACACCTCCCAGAATGTGACCTACACAGCCATCCTAAATACTTCCTGAAAAGGAACCTAAATATTCTAGGTTCCTTTATTGCACAGTCTATTTAATCTAGAAGTTTGTATTTCCTGCTCCGTTAATGGGCTTCTAGAGTCTGCAGGAACTTACTGTGTGATTAAAGTTCAATTTACAGAGCAAGAGATAAGAACTTCTCATGTAAGTTAATATTGGAATGAAAATTATTTTTTAGTTCATGTAGGGGAGGTGTAGCTAGGGCTTCACGGACAGAAACAAAAGTTAGTTAATTCCAAAATGGCGGAGAATTGAGCATGGAGACTGCAGAGGCACACACAACTGCTTCATTAAACTAAACATGTTTTGATGCCTATAGTATCCCTTTACATTAAGTTGTCTGCAGCAAAGCCACACGATTCTGGAGCCTTTTTACATCAAGTTTTAACTGGAACCTCCCTAGAAATTCTGATGATTCCCATACATTCTGTGGAACTACTAAACATATCCCATAAACCTCTTATTAGCAAGGGTTGATGGAATGTGTACATCAACCCCCATTGTACAGCGCTACGGAATTGGCTGGCGCTATATAAATAATCAACTCTAAATAGCAATTTCTTTAATGTAAAGAGATACACGAAACCGCTGTGTTGGTAACAGAATCTGATTCGATTATCTTGTCTAAAGCCATATTTGGATATCAGGATTTCATGAACTGAGCTAGCTATGGCTCACTTATACACTGTAAAGCTATACGTGATATGTACAAAAACTGAAAATAGGCTCTCACTATAATAGTTGAATAATAGCACGCAGTAAATCAGCATGGACTCCCAAGCCTTGGGTGAAATACAAAACGTGACAAAGAAAATGTGGTAAACCGCACGGTTTATCTCATTTTCTCTGCCGCAAAGCTACCTGTGAGCCTGTCAGAAGAAAAGAGGAATTGTATGACATGTGCAAGCCTTGCAATTTATGCCAATCACAGGAGTTTTTAAAAATCTGCTTGTATATCTACCTTTTTCATTAAAAATGTCTTCTGTGTTCCTACATGCTACACTTCTAAGTTCAAATAGTGACATTATACGACTATCTGCCAATACACTCAAAAGGAAAAAATAGAAAGCTAAGATAAGCAATGTGTAAAAGATACTTTAAAAATTTGAATTATTGAAATTAGGTTTGAAGAAATAAAATCAAGATTGATGATCTCAGCCATGGAGGCTGTACCAGCCACATCAAGACTGGCACAACATGGGGGAAAAGAGTGAGTAAAAACTCCTTTCCCATGCAATCAGAGGGAAGCCGGTCACTTAAGCAGACACACACACGCATACACTCACAATTTTTTATTTATTTTAATTCAAGTCCACCCAGACTATGTTTGGGAGAGCTTGAGTGGATCCTTTTCCTGGGGTCCAGTAGGGTTGCTGAAATCTCTTCTAGCTTTGCTCCCATGCGACGGTTTAATGATGCCGGGGCCTGAGTGAGGCCTTTTCACTGCATCACTGCAGGGCACGCTAGGGAGCAGAACAAGAAGAGCTTGAAATTTCAGCACCGTCGCCACTCGCCTCAACTCTCCTTCATTCTCCCTCACTGACAAACACCCAGGCGCCAGGACAAAACTCCTAGTCACCACGGCGACCTGGGATTTGCCAAGCCCTGACTGAGGAGTCCAGAACTCTCTTCTACCTAATGGTAATTCTGTGCAAAAATTAGAACGGTCACCAGACTGACATACATAATCAGCTTCTGCCCTTGCAGTCAACACTCCTGCAAGAGGAAACCTATATGTGCCCTTCCCTCCATTGTGATTTTTTTTCTTCTTCAGAATTTCACCTCTGTTCACCCCACATTCCCTCCCTGTCATAGTGCATGAGCATGCACTTCGAGCCAAAAGATTGGCCGAATCAAATGCTTCTCTACGAAAAGCATTTTAATTGACCACAGAGAGAAAAGGCAAGGAACACTTGAGAAGAACCTAGCCTGGCGCAGGATTCAAGGTAACTTTTAAATATTTTTAAAAATGGCTTTTTGGTTAAAATAGGATGGGTGGATAAAGCAACTAGTGCCCAACAGGACATAACAGATCAAAAAGCAATAGTGAAAAGGGGCTAGCGTAACCCTTTAACCCCCTTAAGGACCAAACTTCTGGAATAAAAGGGAATCATGACATGTCACATGTCCTTAAGGGGTTAAGAACCCAATTAGGTTTTGTGAAAAATAAATCCGTGCACTAATTCCTTTATAATCAGCAAGGGATGCATTCTACATTGTAATATCATGGGCTGTCTTCTGTAGCACACTGCTGCAGGTTTTGTATGAAGATCAGAGGCAAGGTTTTCTCTACTCCTTCAATGCTGCTATATAATGATATATAATTAAACATTATCACTCTGTAATTCCACCTTGCTACATAGGGTGCTACATATAAACACGGCTTCACCCATTACTAGCCCTGAGCCATGCATTCAGTCACATCACTGATAAGGTCAGGCAGTGCCATGGGATCCCGCCTGACTCCCATGACGCTCAGCCAGCTGACAGTCCAGGCGGCCTCTCTCACCTGCAGCAATGGCAGGATCTGTTTGTTCAGGCGCCTCTTGTCCACTAGACTCATCTTGGAGTTTTTGGTCATCTCACTGAGCAGCACCAGCACGGAGATCTTGTACGGCGTGACCCAATCCTTGATGCCGAACACGTTGGCATGGACCACCCCGTTAGTCATCATGGGGTTAAAGTAAAGGCTCTCGTGTACGCTGGCCATGGTCACGGCGGAGCACAATACACGCCGCACCGAGCCTTCACTTACGTCAAACTCGAACAGGAACGCGCCGCAGTGAGCAAGCCAATCAAAACAGAGCAGCGCGAGCCACGTGACCACGGAGGGTACCGTGTAGCTAATCCGTCCCCCGTAAACAGGGGCTTCAAAAAACAGAGTTCCGGTGTGTTGCAGTGCTGCTAGTGTGTAACTGTTGAAATGTTATATCGAGGATAATGCCGTTTGTTTAATTAATTAATTCATCGAAATTAAAAACTCTCAAGAGACGTCAGCCAGAAGGTAGTGTATTTTATTTATCGGTGAACTTGAAACTAAAAGTGCCCCTTACATGTTGTTTCATATGACAGCGGCCACAAAGTTACCAACGTGACAAATACTTTAAGATTTTCATAATTTAAAAAAATAATGTCAAGCTCAGTGATACTTAAAGGAGAACTGCCATCTTAGCATTGTCTTTTTATATAGTGATCATTTACTCAAGTTTTGAAAAGAAATTGACTCCTTGTTAAATTAAGTAAATGTATAAAAAAATAAAAATAAAGGAGACAAACTCACTACCTTAAGGACATGACAAGTTCTTTATGCCATATACAGACACCTTGGGTCAGACAGTGTTAGTATGTGACAGTTAGTTGGTCCTATTCAGTCACTGCATTGTGCAGGAAGCGAAGCAGGGGAGGCCACAGAAACAGTACAGAGGTTTTCAAACACTGTCTGACCCAGGGTGTATATGTATATGGGTGAAGGATCCTGTCATATGCTAAAGGTACGAAAAGAACACTCCAAGTACCACAACTACTACACTAGTTGTATTATGCTGGTTTGCTTCTTTGTGACACTTAGCGACTTTCTCTGAAATGGCAACTGCTATACAAGGTTTGCGTTAGTTTTTGGTCATCATCAATTAGGCACACTTAGGGAAGGGTATTAAAAAGCCATACTTCCTTCTCCATGGTGCCTGGTCATGGTTAGCCAGCCAGGAGTGTCTCTGCAGGCATCCTTTATACCAGGCTTCCCCAAACTCTGGCCCTCCAGATGTTGAACTACAACTCCCATGATTCTCAGCCTATCTATTTTATTCATAGAATCATGGGAGTTGTAGTTCAGCAACATCTGGAGGGCCGGAGTTTGGGGAAGCCTGCTTTATATTTTAGCTAGCATTATTTTTGATCCTGCTGTACTACTGACCTTCATGTTACTTGATTATTTTCTATCTGCTGCCCGTATATACTATACCATATTCTGACATTGGTTTGTACCTTTGACATTTCATTTTCACTGACATAATGAGTGTGCACAATACTGTGGCTCCACTAGTAATACAGCTGCAATGTCAGAATCTTGGGATGGTTGGCAACAAAGTACCCCCCCTTCCATCATTGTCCTGATTTTTGCAGAGGTTTTGGGACTTTTTGGAACTTGTTTGGTGCATTTCTCAAGCAGTGGAAAGGTAGGGAGCTGAGCTTCGTCGTTTGTATGCCTTTTACTGTTTTTTTATGAATTTCTCGCAATACAAAACATCCCGTAGAAATTCGTAGACCGAGGTACCACTGTAGTTTGACTTTTTATCTGGGGTTTGCTGGGCACTGTTTCCTGATATGTCGGGAGCTGTAGGCTCTCTCTCTGAGCTGAGTCAGGGGTCTAGGGGTTTATCACAGGAGAGAACAGAAGCTTCTTGCAGCATATTTTGGCTCACAGCACTGGAATGAGAGGCAGGGAGCAACACACTGGAGACCGCAGGTAAGAAATTAAATTATCAGTAGTTATGACTACTTATGTGGCAATGGCGCCAGGGCACGTCTGGCAACATAACCACTACAGTGGTAACAGTGCTTGGAGTGTTCTGTAAAAGCACCATGATCACTTCAGTGATTTGAAGTTGCTATGGTGTCTGTAGTTTATATGTGCAGACACCTTTTAACTCCTTTGTGCTAGAGGTGTAATTCCACCTCCAACAGAGTCTTTTCCATTTCAGAACAGGAGTGGCTTGTTATCTGCATGTTGGATGGCAGTCGTCAGCACGCACAGCATGTTGGCAACAGGTGTCCAATGGCAGCACTACCCTCCCCTCATCCCATTCTCTCTAACAGTCCTCCCACTTCACCGAGGGGGAGTAACGTCATAAGGGGAAATCGGGCTGTTGGTAGAATCCGGAACTAGAATGCAGGTACGTTTTAGCATTAGCCATTTATTTATTAAAAGAACATGTTAGGAATACAAATGTGTATGCCTAGCACTATAGTGCTCTGGTAGCTGTTTAGGTCTCTGCCCCCACCTGTAGGGATAAAAGGACTTTTACTTACCTTTTCTCCCTCGCAGAGCCCGTCTCTGCTTTGCCAACCCGCCTCCTTGGATGTGATCATCATTATCGATTCTCTTTCCCATAGGAGAGCATTGGGAGGCTAGTGTATATGCGAGGTAAAATGCCACTGTGTTTCACTTGGCTATTTCAGAGGAAGTGCTTCTAGTGACAGCTAGAGGCATTTAAACCCTGCAAGGAAAATGTTAATTTACCAAGTCGTTCCTGCAGAATGGCAATTTTTTTCACTTGCAGTGTGAAAACCGTACGTAAAGGGCTCCCAGACCACTTCATTGATATAAAGTGGTCTGGGTGTGTAAAGTGCCCAGATATAGAGTTACTCACCAAAAACAGTGTTTTTAGAATACTGTTTTTTGGTTGGAGTAACACTTTATGGAGAAAGAGCCTGTAGTGGCTGTCAGTCTACTCTGGGTCAAAGAACAAAATGTTGAGAGACATTCTATTAGTGTCCAATATTGACTGCTTTTTATTTACTACTTTGTACCACTATTGCAACTAATCGTGTGATCATTATGGCCCTAGCATGACGTTCCCGTCTGTGATACAGGTCAGACTGAATAATGGACAGCTGTGTGAGCATATTCAATTTGCCCATAACAAATATGGCGGCCCCGGAGCTTGTGTGCGCTCATGACGTAGCTGTGCTGGTCAGGCGGGTGTGACGCAGGAGCGTGTTGTTGATGATGATGATGGTTTCTGTAACAGGCGGCTGATGGTTGTCTGGAAGGGAGCTAGTAGGTGGGGACAGCAGAGCGGACGGTGACATGAAGGTAAGTGGCTATTGCTGTACAGCCAGGGGGAGCCCGGTGGGCAGGGCAGCGTTAACCCTCTGGCACAGCTTTATTAGCAGGTTTAGTAAATGACAATCATGACACTGGGTGTTATTATGACACGTGTATTTATACTCCTGTGAAGTGTCACGCTGTGTCTGAGGCCTCAGCCTACTGTGTGCCTGTGATATGTTGCCCTCCCTGACCTGCTGGAGTGATGGTCACAGAGCCACATGGGTGATGAGAAGGGAACAGGCTATTCACAGAGCAAAACTGTTGAGTTAGTGGTTCATATGAACATGATAATTTCAGCCATTGCAAGTGCCATACATAGCCAACATCCATTCAGTCTCTGGTTAACTTTGCTTGTACTGGCAGAGACCATATGGAGAGTTTTGGCAGCTGTCTAAGGGAAGCCACAAGGGACACTACTGACCCACACTGAACTAGTAATTTCAGCATAGCTGATAGAAAGAAAAGGGCTATAAAAATATAATTTATTCTACATCACTAATATGAACCTATGTGCTTGTCTGGGACATGTCATTTGTTGTTAATTTAACATGTCCATCTGTTACTGTCATTTCTTTAGTGTTTTGCCATCTCTGTTGACACTTCCCTGTTCATTATGTGTATGTATAGAAATCTATATTATGATGTAAGAAAATCATTTTATATTGAGGGGTCCTGGGGACAATGACTTATGGATGCCTTCAGATTCTTAAGGCTACATTATTGTGTGAAATGTTTATATTGCTTAATATCATATGTGGTCTTTGAAATACATTTCAATACACTTAGAAGCAAGAGCAGAGAGACCCCATGGAATATGAAATTGGGTAGTGCGTCTCTTTGAGCTAATGTGAAATATTAGGAACACAGCTGATTTAATATTTATTTTAAGACTCATATAAGAATTACCTAAGATTGAATAAAGACCCTAAAGGTCGTTCTTGCAAATTTTCTGTATCTGTATTTTTTTTTTTTTTTGAGAATATTATGACAATTCCATTCTAATAGTGAGTATTTAGAGTTAATGGGGAAAAAAATAGATATATATTTTTAATATGTTTTATGGATGTATCCATTTTTATTTTTCCTTTCTTTTTTTGTTTTCTTAACACATGACCTGTCATGATTCCCTTTTATTCCATAAGTTTGGTCCTTAAGGGGGTTAAAGATGTACTTTTCTTTATTAAAAATAATAAAAAACATTAACATTAAAAACATAAATGGGGTAGCCTGGAGTAATGCAGCTGCCCCCTTTATTACTTTGATAACTAAAGTCCCTTTTCTCCTTCTGAGGCTGAATTATAATTTCCTGTATAAATGTAGACACTGAGCCAGCTTGTTGCTGTCTCTAAGGTGAGAGTTTTTATTTGATTGGATGACACAGGAGTGCTTTACCTCGAGGTAGCTAGGCCTGGTAACTCACAGTATATGTCTGCTAAAGCACAATAGTTTGTTGTGTTTGGATATCTCAGATTACTTTGCTGGGTGACATATTTGTGAGCTACTAAATTTGCAAATATGATCATCCTCTTGTAATATCAGCCTTACATACATTTACACACTGTACCATCTAAAGTTTTTTTGTATACCTGCATGAACCCTTATTTTTCATAGTTATGCATTTCTTGAATGTTACAAGGCGTATACAAATCAAATGGAAAAAAAAAAAATCTTTTTGCTAAATTAGTTCCATTAATCCACAATTAATTCACAGTGGCATGCTCTCCTCCAGGTTTCTGTAAGAATATTTCGGACAGTTTTTCTAAATGCATGGATTTGCAGTTGTCAAAACTGTGAATAAGTGTTTGCAGCGGTAACCTGCATCTTCTTCACAACAACGTTTGAAAATAAATATACAGAGTTCAGAAAAAGAATTTCATCCTAGTGCATTAATCCTGAAGTAAAAGGAGGTGTGTATGAAGGAGAACATATTGATTCTGGAATATCTTGGCTATTTTGGAAAATGAGTAGTCATTTATGGTTGGGTGAAGGACTGAACTTCAGAGTTGAAAGAGCTTTACACAGTAATTTTTTGGTTTCTATAAAAGGAGCAGTGCTATCTAGTAATGAATGCATCTAGAGAGACGTACCATAATTGTCTCCACCTAGTATAGCAATGCCTTCTTAAAAATCATGTACATTTATTATATATATAATATATATATATATTTTTTTTTTTTAAGTATTTCACCACTAGTTGTTTGACTAGATATGTTAACCATTGTGACCAAAGTGTTGGCAATTTCATTCTTTAGAAAAATGTAACTACCATTCAGTAAGGGAATGTACTAATGTAATTGGCACATTTTGGACCCAATTTTCTAGATAAAGAACCTGTGAAGTTGTTAAAGTAGTCCGTAGGAAAGAAATGTTTATGGAATAAGGGGACAGCATCAGACCTAAAGTGTGTATTTTAGATATCCACTTGGAGCCTTGTGAAATTCGGCTTATGCTGTGGGCTATTTGGGAGGTGAGTTAAGGCAGTTCACATTGTAGGAATATATGTTAAGGTAGGCCATAGGTAAGTTGATGATGGACTATCGTGGGATTCCACAGAAAATGTTTCAAACAGTGTTGTTTGAAGCTCCAGGTCAGACACTACAAAATTTTCCCCAATACAACAAAAACCTGGGCAAGTAGAAACCCTCTGTAGGCTCAGCTAGACACACAGGACCATGCTTAAAGCTATTTCCCCCCCTTCGACCTCACAGTTCTGCAGCCCTACACCGCCAGGGCCTACACAGCATGTGGAGTCTGACATCGTAACGCGGAGCAATGGCTGATTCCTCAGTAGCTGAGAACCTGGAGGCCCTAAAAACAGCAGTGGCTAAGCTCCCGACGAAGGCAGATATGGAGTTGCAGACCACCTTGTTAAATGTACGTTTCACGGTGAGACTGAAGACCATTCAAGGTGATCTACAGCAAGTAGAGGGTCGAGTGTTGGCGCTCGAAGACCAACAGAGATAGATGCAAGCTTGACTCTCCAATGTGGATTTGCAACTGACGGAGTCCGTCCTGTTACACTGCCGAATAGACGTCCTGGAGAACGTGACAGCATAATAATATTAGGGTTAGAGGCCTGGCAGAGAAAAGGTTCTCCTGCAAATGTAACAGTCAACCCTGCAGTGCCTTTTAAATAAAGTGCTTGGCACACCACTTGACACAGCTATTAAGCTGGGGAGGTCTTACAAGGCGATCAGGCAACGGCCTGCTGCCAAAGAACCGCCGATGGACGTAATATGTTGTCTCTTCGGACATACTATTAGGCAGGACATTATGCACAAAGCGTGACATTTTGCAAGTAATATTCTTTGAAGAATTACCCTCTCCCAGGTTTTTTCATAGGACACCCTGCAGCAAAGAAGGGCGCTCAGACCGCCCACTAAATGCCTCAGTTATGCTGGCCTGTCTTACAGTTGGGGCTTCCCATTTTCTCTGATGGCAAGCGAAGAGAAAAACACATTCTTTCGGGACCAGAAGATCTAGAAGCCTTCTACAGTGCTCTGCGGTTACCACAGATGGACTTCAGACTCGTCAGCGTTCTATCCGAGGTGCCAATAGCAGCCTCCCCAAGATGATCACCCTTCCCAGATTTCACGGGTGACTGAAAAATGCGAGGTTGTTTTACCATCTCATAGTCACTGTTTTATCTACCTAAACTTCTATGTAGGTTAACTGGGGACTGGATTGATCTGAAGAGTGGAGAGTTGGGGTCATAAGATGAGAGTACATTGTCATGTTTTGTTAATTAAAAGAAAGGGGTGAGGGGAGGAAAAAAGTGTAAAGGGGAAATGAAAGGTAAAAAAAAAAAAAAGGACAAGTTTACATGTGTACCTTTTTTTCTTTTCTGTTCAAATTAGATTTTACAGAGAGATTCAAAATACCTTAGGGGAATTCCACAAATTGTACTGGAAATTGAGAAAATCCATGTAAAGGGAATGATCTTTACCAGTCACCTCTGTAAGGGAGACTTTACTCACAGTGGGGGTCTTGAGTCCCGTGCCATTCTATATAGTTCAACAAAAGTTCTAGGTTCAGTGGCCTTTTTCTTGTGGATTTCTTTTTTTTTTTGTCCTTGCACAAATAGGGGGATAGTTCTTCTCAGGCGATAATTCTCCAGGACTTGCCACGAGAACACGACTGTATTTTGATTATTGGCAAGTCTCTCAAGTATTCTTGTGTTTTGTTTTGTTTGTTTTTTAACTTCACCAGTATATTTGATTTGTGTTATTGGGCGCCCCACCACCGGGAGGTCGAAAACTTCCTACAGAGTTCATTTCATTGAGTTGTGCTGACTAACATTGTTGTCCTTACGTGTTGGACGTGGCCAAAACAAAGTTTGCCCTATAGTTTGACTTAACATGCAAAAATGCTGATTATGTTGATGTACATTTATTATTGTCAGTTAGTTACATAAGGATAACAAGATTTTATGTTCTACTTCTCCATCATTCGTCTGGTGCCTTTGGGCTGTTACTTCCTCTCAGAAGATAGCGCTTTATACCTGCAGACATGTTAGAAGCCTCTTTTGAAAGGACCCTGCTCTCCATTTTGTTTTGTGGTGGGTGTGGGGTGTCCACCCTTTCCAGCATGGTCTATTTGTGAAGGGAGAGACTTTAAGAGAGTGTTTTTGAATTTTTATTTTTTATTTTTAATTGTGACTAGCACTGTTAGGCATTGTTTTCTGTTTTTGTTTTCCATTTACCCTATATGCTCTGGTTTAAGCTCCTAAGGTTAAAGCTAGGGAAAATGGCTAACCAGACCTGAGGTGTGTGGGCCACTTCTTTAATGTTCATTATGAATACTATGCAGAAGAGAGTAACTAGCCCATAATACGCATGTGGTACTCCTTCAGGAGACTCACCTGGTGGAAGATAGAGGACAAGGTTTAAGAAACAGGGAATTCCCTTTTAGCTATCTCTTCTCTTCTACCTCTGGTAGAATTAGGGGGGTAGCTATTTTACACATGACTTCCACAAGAGACCTAGTCTCAAATATGATGTATTGACTATGAAGAAGCTAGATGGTGGCAACAGGATTCCTTACTTGAAGTACTATTACAGTGTGGCTCATTTACCCAGAATAGTGGAGTAGTGAGAGAGCCTGATGATCTATGGATTGCAGCAGAGCAGTTGTGTGTTCTGATCCCGCTAGGTGCATTACCATTTTACCAAATTTCTTTACATTTCTCGATGTTCCCACTGTCGCATAACTCTGCATTTCCCTAGGCATTCTCATGGGTAGTCAGAGCTTCACATCCCTCTTCCTCTCCAAAGTCATTAAAAGATGGCACCTAAGGCAGATCCAATAAACCAACCCTAAGACATACTCTTGGTAGATCCTAAGTAGTGTTATTGGGCAGTGGAAGGGGGCCTTGACAGAAGGGAAAGCTAATGTGCCAAATGAAAGGGAACATATGTGAGTGAATGGTATGTTCACATGACTTGGCCAGAACCAATTGTTTGGTACCTCAGACCAAGTTAACAATTGTGATGGTTTCTTTATTTCTTATGTCTGTAGTGAAGAATTAAAGCTCATTGTGTTTTTCTTTGTTTTTTTATTTTTTATTACAGGCGGGGGCCAGCTCCATGTGGGCTTCTTGCTGTGGCTTGCTGAATGAAGTCATGGGTACCGGAGCCGTGCGAGGACAGCAAGCTGCGTTTCGAGGAGGAACTGGCCCTTTTAGATTCGCACAGAGCACTGATTTTCCACCATATCCTTCCACATCTTCCACCAACATAGTGTGTAAAGCTTGTGGGCTGGCATTCTCTGTCTTTAGGAAAAAGGTGAGGTAAAACAAAAAGTACAAAGCTTGATTAGGCGACTTGAATCTGTAGATCTTAGAAAGCCAGACTTGTTTTAATCTGTTTTAGTAGAAATCTATGATTTAGCTAACACACAGGAAAAGTGAAATCCTTTCAAATATTTTTTTTCCTCCTAAGCAGCAGCATTCTGTCAGCACACCAGCCTTAATATATGTCACATTATACCCACCTTTCTTTCTGCCCTGTCAATTTCTTGTGACTGTCAGAGAGGGTACTTTGGCACTACTTGTGGGTGGACAAGAGAACTTCAGAGGACAAGGTTTCTTTCAGTATCTTACGGGTATGTGCTTGTAACTGGTTAATTCTTATCTTTCAGCATATATGTAGTGATTGCAAGAAAGATTTCTGCTCCGTGTGTTCTACACTGCAAGAGAATCACAGGAGATGCTGCACCTGCCATTTATTACAGGAAACAGCATTTCAAAGGGCTCGTCTAATGAAGCTGAAAGTTAAGGATCTGCGGCAGTATCTGACTCTAAGAAACATCCCAACAGACAGCTGCCGGGAAAAAGAAGACTTGGTGGAGTTGGTGCTTTGCCATCATGGTGCCACAGGCACCGAAGAAGAGAATATTGGCACAGACAACCCCACAAGACCACAGACTTCTGGCTTCTTCACACATCCGTTTTTCTCTGCACCTTCTGTGCCTTCACCATCGGTGTCCTCTTTCCAGGGAGAAATGTCTGAGAGCATAGGAAGTGCAACTCCATCCCAGGTACTAAACATCCCCAGAGAATGGTGGTTCTGCATCCAGTGCCTCAATCTGACATACGTATGTACCCTGGGTACTTCAATTGTGGCTAAGAGTACAAGGTTAACTTTGCAGGTTAATAGAGTTTGAAAATAAATGTTATTAAGGTCGTTTACTGCAAGAATACATTAGATGAACTTTTGGAGAAAAACTGATATATTATATTCGAAAAGAGCAGGGAAAACTGCTTAATGGAAGCCCTAGCTACCTTTAGCATGCTTCCTTGTCCTCACCAGTGCAGGTTTTTCTAAATGTAAAATGTCCTTTGTATATTGGCCCCATACCAATTTATGCTGCTGTGGTACAAGAAGGATTCCTGATCTTGTCTCCGTTATGTCTTTATTGGATTATACACATTATATGTCACAAGCATAACTTTAAGTGACAACATCTTATGTTATAAATATTTCCTTTTTCATAGTTCCAAATAATATAATTGCATTATGATCCGTTTAAAGGAACACACGTCATGTTGAGCTTTGAATGAAACTGTTGCCTCACTCTGCAGGCTGAAAAAAAAAACATGTAAATATGTTTTTTTGTATTTCATATTAACCTGCTTCTTCTTTCTTATGCTTTCCACACACATACTCCAGGGACACACACTGATCTAACCAGTGTTCTATCCCTAGGAATGCTGGAAAAGTGTATTGGCCATGCCTGACAGATTTACACCTGTGCAGTTGGAGGAGCTCTTCAACTTCCAACATCCTGAAGGGGATAAGAGAGGTAGTCTGATCACTGTGATCATGCAGAGCAGGCTTTAGTGTCTGGTTTCTCTCTCCTGCTGCTACACAGTGATGCCCTGTTTCTGTCATAAGTGGACTGATCTGAACTCAGATGGGTGGGTAGGAGGGGGGATGCAGAAACTCGCCTTGCTGAGAGGCATGCCCAACAATACAATCTGACCAAGCTTATAGTAAGTTTATAAACATTTATTACATACTTTTCACATTTTTATTGCTTTATTTTAATTTGTTTAAAGGTATTTGCTTGTCAGTTTAGAAATGTAATTAAGTGATGCATGCCCCTTTAAATATTTAACACCTGCCCAGGGCCTTTATCATGCATGCTCCATGGTGTTACAGTAAAGTAACTTTCCCAGTGCTTACATGCCTTACCACCTCTTAAATGATTGGCGTGTGCTAAGATGATGTCCTCAAATAAAGATAACTTTTTCAACATAAGATCATATACATATTAAATCACAGCAGTGCCATTTCATATGAAAAATATAAAGGAGGGGAAGAAGGCACACACGTCTATTACAGCCTTATTTACGTAAAACAATGAATGATAATTGTTTGTGCAAGGTAATGGAGGCTGCCAGATGCCTTGTCTCCCACTCACAGGAATGAGTGAGTGACCAGGTAATGGCTGATATTGCCAGATGTCGTGTGCAGAGGAGGCAGATTAAATCCCAGGAGAGTAGACCTGTATCACATGTCAAAGTCATTCAGTGGAGCTAGTTGCCAACATTTTGAAAAAAACTTCCAGTGACATTTTGCAGCACAGCTATCAATTACTACCTTGAAAATTTGCCACACCCACTGCTGTAAAGCTCCACCCACTATGGCCAACCCACATTATTAATCTCTGCCTATCTATAGTGCAGATTGCAAGGTCTACTCAAGAGATAATTACAGGGAATTGAGATGGTAATGTTAAATATAAGGCCAAGGTAGCGGAGTTGGAAAAAGCTCCCATTCAGCTGCACTATTTCAAATAAAGTTTGAAATTACCATCACAATCCCCTGCAATTCTCTCTTTATTGAGTAGACCTTTATAACACCAAGTTCCCAACTGTACTATCATCCTTGGTGTGCGATAGATACATTTGCAGCACAGCATCTATATCAGGCAGGTACATTCTATCACTTTAATTTTAGAGTTGGGTATCAGTAGTGACATTGCCAGTACAATATAGAAAGACCTTGTGTAAGAGAGTTGTCTACACCAGCAGTTCCCAAACTGTGGGCACACAGAGGCGCCGCAAGATATTTCCCCGGTGCTATGATCACAGCACCAGGAACTGTGCTTTCCTCTACCCGGCCGGCTCTGCAGGACTGAAGGGAGATCAGAGATCTCCCACTCCAGCCCGCTAGCAGTGTAATGCTGCAGCCGGCAGGGGAGGGAGGGAGAGAGGACCTGGAGGAGCTCTAATCTGCAGCTCCGCCGTGTTCTCCTCTCATGAGCTCGGAGCGTTGCCGCGCTTACCACAACAATGCCCCGAATCTTGCGAGAGTGAACTCTAGCTCAGTCTCACCACTTGGAACACCAGGGATTGCAGGAAATGTCCTCTCCCAAGCCAAGGTAAAGAGGGAGGGGGGATATCAAAATTGTTTTGTTTGTTTGTGTTTTTTGTTTTTTATAATTAAAAATAAAAATATATATAATATATATTATCTACCCTCCTATAGTTCACGCGCACACTGTAGCCCTCAATCACACACACTACATCCTTCACAAACACAATGCGCCTCTCTCCCTCTCTCCCCCTAGTAGTGGTTATTGTGACTGGATTGTTTCTTTAAATAATCTACAAGTGCCCCTCCCGAATTAGTTTCTGGATCAGCCCCTGACAGGGAAACATTTGACTTGGGGCGCCTTGGAAAAATATTGAAACATTAAGGGCACCTTGAACCATAGAACATACATTAGTTCACAAAAATAATTATATTGGGGAGTGAATATAGTAAAAAAAAAAGCTGAAAATAGAAAATGAAAGATATAGAAGGTGAGTGTACAGAATGGAATTAAAGAGATAAATGGGAGCATAAGGAAAACCTATGCACATATTCCATTAGCCCCTTTTCATGTCTCCAATTCAACATGTTGAATGTCTTAGATTGAGGCTTCAGTCACCACTCCACTGCTTCTGATTCTTCTAGTTCCTGGAGTCTGCTGGTATTCTACAGAGAGCAGCACTATACAGGGAGCACTGACTGTCCCAGGATATAATACAAACAGACCTGTATTATTCATAAATTATTGATAAAATTAAGCTTATATTTATTGGTACCTTCAACAAATGCAATACATACATACAAACCGACTGCTAAATACACGCACGCACCGACTGCTAAATACTGTCAGGATACTAGTTGATCCAGCACGTAGAACTGTATCACACCTAGGACTAAAAGGTAATATCTTATCGGGCCTTAGAATAGCCAGACCTAACGTACCAGAGAATAGTCAGAATACTTGCTAAGGTCGGGGACACAGAATGAGACACAATGATGAGGGAAAGCCAAAAGTCAGGGGTTACCAGAATACAGGGAAGTCAAAAGAAGCCAAAGTCAATAATCAGAAATTAACGCTCAGAAACACACTCTCGGACAACGTCACACGCACACAGACATCATGGATCTGCAGCGGCCGGCATCCACTAACATGTTGCAGGAGTCAGGTACACCGACGTATGGCCGCTGAACGCAGACACCGCAAGATGAGGATGTGTGTGAGGGGTGGGTCGTGTGCGTGGGGTGCTTTGTGTGTGGGGGGTGCTGTGTGTTTGCGTGCAACATGGGGGCGGAGCCTGCGTACGCGAGGCAGAGCAGGAGCCTGTTTGGTTTATCAAGTCTACCTGGCTCTGGAGGCTGTTGCTGGGAGGTCAGGTAGCCATTTTCTGCAGCATTGTCTCCTGCTTAACGTGGGGCGGAGCTTAATGACGGGAAGCGGAGCTTGCATGCATGGGTTGGACTTGCAACATGGGGCGGAGCCCCCGTACACGAGGCAGAGCAGGAGCCTGTTTGCCAGGGAAGCTGCTGGGATATCGGAAGGGAGACTGTCGGTGCTCCCTCCGGCCCTAGCAGCCTTAATGCAGCCCCCAGCATCTCTCCCCAGCACCTGTCTATAGCCCCCAGTAGCTCTGTAATAAAAGCACGTGGCTCCTGGGTGAGTCAATTGCCCGGGACAGACTCCAGCTTATATGTTAAAGGAACACACATCATGTTGAGCTTTGAATGAAACTGTTGCCTCACTCTGCAGGCTGAAAAAAAAATGTAAATATGTAAATATGTTTTTTTGTATTTCATATTTACCTGTAGTATTGTCAATCCTGGATTCTCCCTGCCGGCTAATGCAGGGCTGGCATTGTCCAAGTGCCAGCCCTGTTATGTGCCTGCGGACCGGGGAGAGAGGACCCGGGAGCTCAACTTGCAGCTCCTCAGAGTCCTCCTCTCGCGAGATTTGGAACGTTGCCGCGGTTACCACGGCAGTGCTCCAAATCCCGCGAGAGTGAAGTCTAGCCCTGGAGCGCGGGTTAGACTTCACTCTACACTGGACCACCAATGAATCCCACTGGGACCACCAGGGACGGAGAAATGTCCCCCCTCCTCCTCAATAAAGGTAAGAAGGGAGGGGGGACATCAATTTATTTTATTAAATACTTTTTTTTTTTTTTTTTTAAAGCCTCCTTCCTCCCCCATACATACACACACTTCCCCCCCCCCATACATAAACTGCCCCCCACACACACACACACACTCTGCCCCATACATAAACTGCCCCTCCATACACACACACTTGCCCCCATACACACACACTTGCCCCCCCATACACACACTTGCCCCCCCATACACACACACACTTGCACACACACACACTTACACACACACACTTGCCCCCCCCACACACACACTTGCCCCCCATACACACACACTTGCCCCCCATACACACACTTGCCCCCCATATATACACTGCCCCCCATACACACACACACACACTGCCCCCATACACACACACTGCCCCCATACACACACACTGCCCCACAAACACTGCCCCCACTGCACACCCATACACACACTGCCCCACAAACACTGCACACACATGCAGACACATACAGTGCACCACACACGACCGCTCATACATAAAGTGCCCTCCCCATACACACACTGCCCCACACAGACATACAGTGCCCCCCATACACACACTGCCACCCTCACTCACACATACACTGCAACCCTGACATACACTGCTGCCCTCACACACATACTGCACCCCTAACACACACCACTGCTCCTATGCCCTATATCCCAGCAGACCCCAGGTAAGTTGTCAAACTGTTCTTGAACGGTATGACAACTTACTCTGGGGTGGGATCCTGGCACTACTGGCACCATAACTACTACACTGAGCTGTAGTGGTTATTGTGCCAGGATTATTTATTTAAATAATCTACAAGTGCCCCTCCCGAGATCAGGCTCTGGATCCGCCACTGGGTCAATCTGGTTTTGTCAATCCCAGAACTATACATTACATATGAAATTGTGATTTTAATTGTATATTTAAATTTATTTTTGTAGGCAACAAGTGAAACAGTCTCTGTGGCGTCTGATACAGAACCACCAGAGCAGCAGGTAAGACACACTATTTTACCTTTAATTCTGTACTTGTATTTGAAATAGTAAATTATACCCTTGCAATCTCTATAATGAATTGAAAATGAACTTGCTTCTCAAATCATTCTCTCAACTCACAGATCTGTAGCAGAACTTTGGAACTCCCCTATGTGAACCTACTATAGCCACACTAACAATCCTTGTCCCCCATCAAATAAAAATCTAATCTCAAGATTAGGATACATTGCATTTTTTTCAAACTAATTTTGCAGATCAAGACAGATACAGTACAGTACAGTACCATAAAACACCAGTTGTATAAAGGCAATAGCTATCCATAAAAAGGAGAGACCAAATTTTATATAGAATATCACAAAGGCCTTCAACAGCCTAACAACATTACATCAAACACACAGGATGGAAGCAGAGGGCTTGACGTGCAAGACTAACATGCAAAAAAGGAACACTGAGTTAACTCAAAATTCTTTGAGGCCCATATAGTGGATATGAGGGGTGGTAACACCATGAATATACACCCTATAGAATGTAAGCTCAATTGAGCAGGGTCCTCTTCAACCTATTGTTCCCGTAAGTTTATTTGTAATTGTCCTATTTATAGTTAAATCCCCTCTCATAATATTGTAAAGCGCTACGGAATCTGTTGGCGCTATATAAATGGCAATAATAATTGTATAACAGCATAGTGAGCCAAACTAAGGTTAATAAGGGCACATGAAATCAGAACAGATGGGGCATCCCCAGGAACACCTGGCATTTAACTCCTTTTTTACTCATTAACATTTTCTGCAATTTTTCTCCCCTCACTCACTTTCTCTTTCTTCAAAGTAAAAACAAAACACAAAAACAAACCCACACCTGTGTACTTTTTTTCCATTTTATGACTTTGCTGCCCTATGATGCCTCTAGCATGTAAATTATTTTATTATTTAGATAGCACCATCAGATTCCGTAGCGCTGTACAATGGGGTAAATAACCCATGGATAACTTTTACTTAGTGAGAGTTTTGTGACACTTCTTTAAAGGGACACTGTATGCACCCAGACCACTTCACTGTGGTCTCCACTGTGACCCTTTTGCACTTAGTGCTGCAACGTAAAACATTTCAGTTCCAGAGTACTGCAATGTTTACATTGCAACTCTTAGCCTGCCCTCTGTGACTGTCTACCAGACAGCCACTGGGGGTGCTTCTGGAATCCAAACTGACTTTTGGTCCGTTATCTGACGGACGTTCTCACTGCATGAGGACCTCCAGCGTCAGATTTTCCCCATAGGAAAGCATTAAGTAATGCTTTCCTATGGAGAGGTCTAATGCACGCACGGCCATTGCCGCGCATGTGCATTAGGTCTCCCTCGCCAGCATGGGCGGAGCCTAACCCAGCTCCGAGGGACACAGCACCATGGGAAGGGGGCGCAAGGGGGGGGGGGCACTCTAGGAGCCTATAGTGCCAATAAAATGGGTTTGTTTTCCTGGCACTATAGGATCCCTTTAACTTTATTGGTGCTTTTATAAATCCTTTTTAAAACACCCAAATCACTACAGTTCAAAGGAGAGATGAGTATTTTGATAGAAAAACACTGGTTTCAGTGCTTCTATATTAGCAGGACTGTTTGCTTGTCCTAATGCTTCTTTATGGAAAGAATCTGATTGGACACAGGTCTTCACTAATAATGACCTTACAGGAGGTGGAGTGGAATTGCAGTGTCAAGACTCTCATAGCACTGGAATAAAGGTCTTTTTAGTTCATTTTAACCCTCAATGCAGTGTGGGTAATCTAAACCATTTAAGGAGCAATCCAATGAAAACAGATGTAATTTGTGTTCCTTTAACTGCTTACTACTTGGTTTGTCCCTGTTCGCATCTCAAAATGGTTTTTGCTCATAAGAGTTACACATGGTTAAAAATAAGGGCATTATATGATTGCTGAGGAAAGTGTTGCATGGCTAAATGTAAAGATTCTGTAATTTACCCCCACCTCATTTCAGACAGAAATTTCTCGAAAGCGGGCAAGAGCATCCCTATCCGACTTATCAACCTTGGAAGAAATTGAAGGGCTAACTATCAGGCAGCTGAAAGAGATCCTGGCCCGGAACTTTGTCAATTACTCAGGCTGCTGTGAGAAATGGGAATTGGTGGAGAAAGTAAACCGCTTGTACAAGGAAACCGAGGAGAACAGGAAGTCATGTATGTTAAGAGACAAATGGGATAATGGTGGGAATTATGTGAACTCGTTTAGATGCACATTTTCCTATCAATAACTAAGATCACATTTGCCATGACATTTTGTCACCCGTCACATCCCTTCCCTCCTTATACAGCTCAGGCACCTTGCCAAATTGGTATCATTCTCCATGTAATATTTTTCATGTTACTATATTACGCAAATAGTTACGTACAAACTGTAGAAACTTTTTATTTTTAAAATACATTTTTGATGTTGGTTTTTCTTTTCTTTTTTTTTTTTTTACTTTTTAATGTTGATTGGATTATCTGGATACTGTACTAAAAATGGGGATTTGAAGCAAAGACAAGCTTTTCAAAGTCAAATTACTAAGGTTTACAGTCTCATGCAGTAACCGGTTTTCAAGCTATGAAGTAGCTGATGGTTATTAACTAATCATAGTTTTGCCATTGTTGTCAAAGGGAGTGCTGAGCACATTCCATTGGCTAATAGCCATTACACAGTGTTAAGGTACTTTGTCAAATTAATACCTTGTGCATTGAGTAAAAGTTGTGACTGAGTTTTGACTGCCCCTTTAATGTAAGTGTTTAGAGTTCTTTTTTTCTAAGGAGTTTAATCTTCTCTATTATCCAAAGTACAAACACAATGGTTGATATACCAGGTTAAAAAATAAAATGAATCCTAGTTACTGTTCAGAGCTAGGAAAGTTATTATTTTTTTTTTTCTGAGAATGGATTATTCTACTAATGGGCTATATATTTTTCTTTTTCTTTTAGTGGAGAATCCAGAAAACAAAACAAATTCAGGTATGTTCTGGACAGAGGGTAAGATACTAAATATGTATAGATTAGAGGGGAAGAGAGGTGCTTTTACGATGTGGTCATGGTGGTTGGAATCTGTATGTGCAGAGTTTGTTTGAAATGCTGCAGATACATGATTGTACTTTTGTGCTGAGAGCTAGTTGCATACGGAACACGTGACTTTGGCAGCCCAGAACTCTGTTCCAGGGGACCTAATGTAAATTCTGTGCAAAAATGACATACCTGCAAGGGGAAGCAGGAAGTTACAGTATTCCCTTCTCCCTCCAGTGACAGTTATTCCATGTTTTTTATTTAGAAAGTACATCCCCTCCCCCGCCCGGCTCAGAGCATTAATTTGTGCAGTGAGCTGGTGAATGGTCCATTCAGATGCTTTTCAATGAAAATAATCAGGAATAAAAGACAAATTGAAGGTCAAAGTAACTGAACTGTAACCATAGCTGAATTTTTGCAGTTAGGCTCTTTTAGACTTCAGTGTGTAACTCGCTATGAATACCCGACATACTTTAGTAAATAATCGTATCGGAGGCCCTCCAGCAATGCCACAGTTCTTTCCAATCCCAGTTCAGTTCTGCCATAATTGCAGTCCTTTCCAGTTTGTCATATTTCCCTTGCTCACTTTATGTCCATTTCAGTTCTTTCCAGCTACCTTAGTACAGATTCAGCTCCCTCACCCGTATGGGTGTACTGTTCTAGTAGTGCTTAATCGGTTCATTTGTGTATTTCTGTTCTAATCCCCAATGTCTTCTGTATTCCAGACCGAGAGCAGCTACAGTTGACGGGTAATGATGACAACCTTTGCAGGATCTGCATGGATGCTGTCATTGACTGTGTGCTCCTAGAGTGTGGCCACATGGTAACCTGTACTAAATGTGGCAAGAGGATGAGTGAGTGCCCTATCTGTCGACAATACGTAGTGAGGGCGGTCCATGTCTTTAAATCTTGAGTATACAAACCAAAAAACAGACATGTTGGGAATCTAAAGTTTAAAAAACAACAACAACAAAAAAACAACAAACTACTAGAACTTTATATATTTGGTTGGACTGTTATGTTAAACCTGATTAAAACAAATTGCCTGTGTAGCAGGATAAAAGGAGATAGAGATTTTACATGGATTTGCATCCAAGTGTGTGGGACATACAGTAGTAAAAAAAAAAGTGTGTTATATATATATATATATATATATATATATATATATATATATATATATATATATATATATATATATATATATATATATATATATATATATAGTACTGCTATTCAGTGGGTGAACCTTTAAAACAAATTGCAATCAAATGCTATTTTTTATTTATTTTTTATTCTGCTGCATTTTTTAGTTTTATCTTCTATGATGTAAGACCCGGATTTATTTCTGACAAATGTTATTACTTCCTGTTGGAAGAAAGATCCATATATTTCTGTAGATCACGCCATGATGGTTTTTCTATGGGCTGTAGTTATAAAACAAACATCGTCATCCTTGACACTTTTTGATTTGCAAGGCGATTCAAATGTTTTTGTATTAAGTACAATTCCCACAGTTTACTCCAATCATTTAACTTGAGGGCCAAGGTGTATGTGCAGTTGCTTGAAAATACTATGAGAGTAAATGCATGGCCCAAAAAACTGCCAGTAAATTTTTGTGTGGTTTTATTTTTGTACTCTCATATGCATGTACTGATATGCAAAAAAAAAAAAAAAAAAGCTAATTGACTTTTATTAGTAGTACAGAAATAAGAAAATTTAATATTTTTGAAACTATGGCTTGACACCATAGATTATGCATTTGGTGTCCATTGCTCATTAAGTCGGTCATTAAGCATGGAAATCCCATTTAACTTAAATTAATGTTTAATGAAATGCCATGCTATTCAATGTATAAGTTAACAGTGTACTCCCAAGTAATTTAAAAATACATATTTTCTACTTAGTGTTTTCTTGATTGCCTGCAATACAGGTCTCTAACACCCAGCATTATCTATTTGATCATATTTTTATCTTTCCGCCTATACTTTATGTAAAAAAAATGCCTAAAAGGGATTTATATACGAGAACAAAATTGGGAAAATGTGGGAAAGTTTTTATTCTCAAATTTGCTACTATTTATGTAGTCAAGTAAAATGGTCTCAAATGGCACATTGTTTGCCTACTTTTATACATATCTGCAACAAAATAAACAAGAATCAGTTCACAATTCTACTTTGGAGCACAGGGATGTGTTACTGGCCAGATTTTTTTTTCTCATACCTCATCATAAACAGGTGTTTTCATTGGACCCCATTCACACAGAATCACTTTTATGCATAGTCCCCAATTATATTGTGCTGCTGGAAAGGAAACTTTCAAAATGTCTTAAGAACAATCTCTCTGTAACAATGGGACTTGCTGACCGTTAATTACAAGGAGGAAAAAGACTGAGATACATGGGGGAGGTAATGGAACAACTGCTGTAGAGTACAGTAGTCCCAGTCCTCTGGTACTTGAAGATTCCAGATCACAACAAATATTAGTAACCAGTACCTGTACATTATATTCCTACCATCCAGCATGAGGGTACTGTAGAGCTGATTGACTGCTGTTGCTCAATTTGTCAGTGTTTGTTTATTTTTTTCTAAACTTTATTTTATTGAGGTTGTAGAGTTTGCTAATGGTACAGAAACATTTGAGTAATGGGATGGGATTATACAAGTTCATTGCACTTGTTAAGTAAACCTAATTTTAGTATATTAGCAAGAAGAGAAATCCGTAAAAAGTGAGAGAGCATGTTATAACCAGCATGCAACAGCTCCTAAGATGAATTATATATGTAGTTGGAGCATTTCTGGCATTGATGGAGAGATCTCATTTTGTATATCAAAGAGTATGGATAAACCAATGGGTTCTATGACTAAAAAATAAATCTAAACAGTATCCCATTGTAAATTGAGAAACACAATTACACAGAAGGTAGGCTCTGGAGCTAATACTAAAGTACTTAAAGGAACACTATATGTATTCCTAATGCTATAGAGCTCTAGTCACCGTTTTGGTTACTAGGGTCCCATTCCACTGCGAATAAATGGTTAACCATTTATTCGTTTACCTTAATCTAGTGCCAGGCTCCCTCAGGCACTGATGACCTCTCCTCCTCCATCGACCTCCGCTTCTGAGTGGAGCCGAATGCGCATGTGCAGCCAGAGGCGAGTGTGCATTTAAACCTGCCCATAGGAAAGCATTACTCAATTCTTCCCTATGGGGATATTTTTTGACACTAGACACCGTGAGCAAGTCCATTGTCAAATAAGTGTGATTTACTCTGTGTAAATCGCGGAAGTAGCCTCTAGTGGCTGTCAGGCAGACAGCCACTAGAGGCTGGATTAACCCTTAGTGTAAACAGTGTTTTTTCTGAAACTAAGTTTTCAGCTGCAGGGTTAAAAATAGAGGGACCTGGCACACAGACCACTTCATTTTGCTGAAGTGGTCTGGGTGCCTGTAGTGGTCCTTTAATGAGATGTACTATACTTAAATTGTATCTCATGGAAAACAAAAGGATAACAAAACAAATACCTTGATAGTATTGCATGTAATTTAGACTATACACACTAGGATGATCCCCAGTGGGGGGAGGGGGGAAAGGGGGGGGGGTGGGTGAAGCAGGGTTTTCTTTGTTGAAGGCCTCAGTGAACATCTCGTCCTGAGCTGGGAAATTGGACATCTCACCTGTCCGTCGGACTAGGCTGCATAAACAGAAGAGGTAAGTGCCCTTGAGTACAGAGCACTCCAGGCACAAAATATTTCTAAGGTATGTTTGCTGTCGTCTGAGGTCTTGTCTGATGAGATTTTGGGCTGTAAACAGTCCAGTTAGCTTTAGAATGGAGGAGGTACAAATTAGTTTGTCCAGTCATCTTGACTGTTAGGCCCCGGCTCCCAATTCGTATGTCGCTGACAAAACACCTTGTACTTGCTGGTGGAGATATTAAGAAGTACTCACTATTCAAACAGTAGAAAATAATTGGACTTTTGTGATGTAACAAAGTTATGTGAAAAATGAGTAAAATAGCTTTTGTTTTTGTCTATTGCCTTCTCAGAGAATTTCCACTAAGAAATATGATCCTGTATACGGTGCTGTTCCTAATTTTTTATGTGTATAATGCACACTGTGGCTTATCATTATTTTTCTATCACCATCACTCACTGTCAAGCTGAGTTTTACCTGTCAGTATATCATATCATCTCTGATTCCTTTAAGGTAACATAACTTGTTCTTTCAAAGTCACGGATCCATAAAATGGTAGCGATGTTGCATAGGACTAAGTGATACTAATTCTTATTGACATTTTAATCTTTAATGCTGAATGTCCGAGTGCTAATGTGGATTAGACATACTTATTTGTAGCAGTGGACTGAACACATCCAGAGTATGTATTAGGAGCTTTTATAATCTCCCTATTTTCATATTTACAATTAAATATCCGCAATTAAAGGAGCTTAAAGAATCTACAAAGAAACCTTTCTACTTTTATTAGTATTGACACAATACTAGACTGCTCTTGGAAATTTACCTGCCGTATGTTCTTTGTTTTTCCTGTGTATGGCTCCTACCAATATAATGTTTCACACACCTGTTTATAAGGATGTTTGGTATAGCCCAGAAGCATATACATTGCCAATATGTAACACACAGGAGATTATCCTAAAGCTATGGTTGAGGATGTTTACACAGGACAGTTACCTTTAGGATCCAGTGTTATGTCTGAAGAAGAAAATGGGGGAAAAAATGCCTGTGGTCCATAAGGGGTTAATAAAAATGATCCCTCGACTGCACACCTGACATGAAGTTAATTTTGCTTAATAAAGGTTTTATAAACGGAGCTCATTGATATCCCTCTAATCCCTGTTTTCTGAACTAGTCGTACTTGTAATCATAAAAGCTGTTTAAAGTGATTTGAGAAGGATTAGCTATATATATTTTTTTCTTCTTAGTCACTTTTTCAGTTTGTTTTCTTTCATTCTTACTTTAAGGTATTGACGGCTACCTATTTGACGCACATAGTGTCATAGGGGGATGTGGTTTAATTACTGCTGTTCTGTCACTGCTTTGATGTGTTCCATATGTTCCATTTTAGAATTACGTTACAAATAAGCACTCTATTCATTACTCAATATCACACATATCTCAACTAGTTGAACAAAAATATATTCCGAAATCTATTTGTTTGTTTTTTTTTTTTTGTTTGTTTTTTTTTACGTTCAGACTTGTACATTTGTATTATTTGTTATCACTGTATTATAGATATTTTCTTACTCTGCTGGGATTTATTAATGCATATTTTATTGCGATTGTATGGAAAAGATTGGATATACTTTCTTTTTAAAACAAAAAAAAAACAGGTGACCTGTTTTCTATACATTGATAAAGAGATTGTGAGTGTTTTCAAAAGTTATTGTATTAAAAGGTTTGTGAAAGGAAATGATCAGTTCTGTTTTATTTAATGAACTACTGTTACAGCAAACCCAAGTATTACTAATGCGGGTAGATTTGTTTTTAGGTATAAAGTAATGCATAGTGACTGTGTTTTATGGCAGACAAATATTACTTGGAATGTCTGTTCTTGGAAAAATTTAAAGGGGGGGGGGGGGTGTGTGGACCGAATAGAATCCTTTTAGAGACGGGCACAAATGAAATAAATTGAAAACCAAAGATGTAGAAGAAAGATGATGATGTGGTTGGTTTTCATGGGTTCTCTCATCTAGACTGGTATCCATGTTTACATTTTCATGGCTTGAATAGTGCAATAGATCTACTAATAAGTAAAGTATATTAAAAAAAAAAAAAAAAAATTCTTGGCACCAGCATAATTAATTTGATAGGAAACATAAATTAGACCAAAACCCTGTTCTTTAGATTACGTGTAAGAAAACAAAAACATTGTGCTGCTTCTTCCCCTTTAAAACAAAAGCAGCAACCAGAAAAACCTTCCTTATTGAAAACTAAACAGTATAGCTCAACCATTGAGAGATCAGTGTAAGCTGTCCTCTTTTCCAGTTACCTCTTAATCCCTTCAGTACCAAACACTTTTTTTTTTTTTGAGGGATAGATATATATATATACACACACTTTTTTTTCCTCTCCTCCCCCCCTTTCCAACAGTTTAGTAGACCTTTTAGTAGATAGCTCCCTAATTATTTGGTAATTAGGGGGCTACCTACTAAGCGGGATGCAGCTTAAATTCTGAACCAATAAAATACACAAATTTTTACCTAACACAACTGGACAAATTGTACACATTCTGTTAGGACAAAATTCTGTGAATTTGCCAGAGCCCTGTCTAAATGACAGGACGTTCAGACGGCCAATGAAGCAATGCAAGAACACGAAGGAGGTTGAGTATTGTGGGAAAATTTCTTTGACCACAGGTAATGGAGCAGACTTTGGTCAAAGAAGGTCAAATAGGAAAAATACATGTGACAGTCTTTGTCTTATGTTTTAAAGAAAACTAGATCAGATAGGAAGAAAGGAAGAACAGATTCTGAGAGAGGGTGAGAAGAGGAAACAATAGGAGAAAGGCAAGTTCGGCATGACAGTGCCGCTTTAATGTTCCCTATAGAGATGCATTGATCCAATGCATCTCTATTAGGAGATGCTAAATGCTTTCTTATTGGAAAGCATTGGATTGGCTGAGATCTTTAAGTTTGATCTCAGATAAGGGGGTGAAGTCAGCAGTGAAGAGACCCACACAGCACTGGAAAAAACTATAGTGTTAGGAATACATGTTTGTATTCCTAACCCACTAACCTTTTTTGAAACAAATCAGGATAAATGACAAGAGTAACGCATTTAGCAATCCACCCTCCATCCTCTACTTCCCTAATTCGTTTTTCTCTATATTTGTTGTATACTCTTTATTCATTCTAAATCTTACAGATAAATCAGGACAGAAGACTACACCCAGAAGAACCTTAGAGAATTGTATTTATTATGTAAAGTATCACTATTGTCAAACTACTTCATATCATATGTCATTGTTTGTATCTGCTAATTAATGCTCGTCTTCCTGATCTCTTCTTTTAAATAAAGAATTTAAAAAATATTAAAAAAAAAAAAAAAAGCATTTAAATTGGTTAAAATCTATCTGGCGGGGTTCTTATTAGTTTCCATGTCCTATCTGGCGTCACTCCGCGTCATCAGTGGTCCAATCAAATGCAGACAACAAGATGTACAGACAGGTAAGGCTACTACTACACATTAAATGTTTGTGTGCCTGAATGCAGAAAAGAAAAAAGTAATTTTAAGCATGACTCACAAGATCCACAACATATGGCATAATGGATCCACTAACTAGAGAACAGTCCCAGAAAGCCTTACAACCACCACCTCCTTCCTGCTCCTCTTATTAGAAATATAGGGGAAAAAGCAGAAAAATAAAAAATAATAGGCATGAACTGATGATTGGTTGGGCCGATGTTCTGCAATAATCTGTATCCGTTTAAATGATACCGATATTGCCGATACCAGTAGCATACTACTGTAAGGGGGGCTTGCCACGGTTGTCACTCACATTTTAGAGAAGACTTCCAGGACCCAGCACATGCTATCTTCTGTTTACGGCAGCTCCTCTCCAAGAGTTGGAGAGAGGAGTTGCCAGAAACAGATGATGTGCAAGTTCCTGGTAACCTGCACATAGCCACTGGACCACTACTCCAGAGTGTCATGCCCACAGGCAAAAGGCAAGGGGGAAATAAAATTATTGCATAAAAAAAAATAAAAATACATTATATATATAAAATTATTGGGGGGGGGGACACCCAGCTTTTAGCGCACAGAGTCCGATCACACACACACAGAGGTTTTTTACACAGTAAAAAACCTCACTAAATAAGAAACATGTTCAGTTAAAGGGACACTGTCGGCACCCAGACCACTCCAGACAGCCACTAGAGGGACTTCAGGAATCTAAACGGACCTTTGGTACATTATCTGACGCTGGAAATGCTCACTCTCTGCATAACGACGTCCAGCGTTAGATTTTCCCCGTAGGAAAGCGTTGAATAATGCGCTCCTATAGGGAAGTCCTAATGCGAGTGCGGTTATTGCTCACATAGGTCTCCTAAGGAGTTTTAACCCCATCAGTGCCGCTTGAGGGGCGGGGGGCACAAATTAGGAGGGCACTCTAGGAGCCTATAGTACCAGGAAAAAAGGTTTGGTTTCCTGGCACTATCCCTTTAATGACCGTTTCTTTTATCAAAACTATAAATTAACAAAATATCGGTATCTGTTATCAGCAATTGGGCCAAAAGATCAATAATTGGTATTGGCTGCTAAATTATATTGGTCGTTCCCTATGAAAAACCCCAAGGTAACTGGATCAGGTGCAAATTCAATACGCAAGATTGGGAACTCATGCACTGTGACTTTGCAGATGAAACTGAATTTATCTATTCACATACATTTCATTTAAACGTTGTCATGGAGAATGAGAATCCATTACTTATGGAATAAAGTATACCCAAGCAACACGGATATGATCCACATTAAACTAAGTGGTCACTAAATAGGTAGAGGGGGGGGGGAATACTGGACTGGAACAAACTTAAATGCCTGCAGAATTTTCTTGCCCAGGAAGAGTGAAAAATGCAAAAAAAAAAAAAAGTACAACAATGACATTTGGCAAGACAGAGCAAGTGATTGCTGTGTAATTTTGCTTCATTTAAGTCACATACTTAACCCCTTAGTGACTGGCACTTCTAGGGCTGTGTTTGCAGTTTTGTGCTGTTCTACTGTACATTCCCACTTTTGCAACACCCACACATTCAACTTTAACCCCTTAGGGACACACGCAAATGTCCAAATTCCAAACAAACCAAACCTAGAATGTCAGCTATACATTTGTTCAACTATAATTTACCACTTTCATATTAAGTGTACCCACACTTATTTAGGTATCATTGTGTTCAGGAGTAATGGGGCTTTTATTTCCTGTCAAACATTTTATGTAATTTAGTATGAATAAAATCTAAATAAGTGTGAGAAATTGTAATTTCCCAAGTCATGCATGGCATTTGATCTTTGAATGTCATAATATGCATGTCAAGTCTTTTTTAGTAGTCACAAAACTTGGCCAAAGTTAGTGTTCATATGTTTTTGCACGGATTATATCATTGTCTCTGTTTTACTGCTCTACACTGGTGTTCATGAGAAATTGCTAAACACACATAACAGTAAAAAAACAAAAGAAAAATCTCTAATATGATAGAGAGGTATTTTTCAAGACCCCTACATAATTAATAGACAACACATGGGGTGGGTATTACGCAGCCAGGTTACAATGCTGCCACCTGCACCATGTGTTCCCTATGAAAAATACCCCTCTCTGTCTCATTAGAGATTTGTTTCCTGAAGCTGGAAGCAAGGTGAATTGTTAGGGTAGGACCCACCTAAGAGGTTTGCATTGACATGGCAGAGGAGCTTACATCTAATGACCATTGGAGTGTTACTAAAAACCTCCAGTAATGTAAATATGCACAGGGATTTGGGATAGTACGCAAGTAACTCTTTTTTGGTTTTCATAGTATGTATTGGGGCTGATGTGTACTATGGGGATTGCTGCTGCCCAGGAGCAGCGAGTGTCTGAACACAGAACTTATTTCTGTGTACAAATATAGCAGTACCTCCCTCCGCATGTACCGTTCATACAGTGTTTAGGAAAGTTACAGGGCAATGGAGCATGAGCATTTCTACCTGGAAATCTGAGGAAGTAATTTTCTAAGTCTAGGACAGTGATGGCAAACGTTTTTGAGCCCGAGTGCCCAAACTGCAATACTTGCCAACTTTTTTCCCCCTCAAAGTGCCAACACAGCAATTAAACCTGAATACCGAAGTTTAAGTTTAGAAAAAAACAACTCGTACAGTTGTCCGAACTAATTAACTTTTGTTTTAAAAGAAGAACACAACAGAGTTCAATGATACAAATTTTAAATTGTGATATAAATAGATAAAATTAAGCTTATATTTATTAGTATCGCCAACAAATGCAATACATACACACAGACTGCTGAACACATTCACACACCGCCCGCTAAATACACATACACACAGTCTGCTGAATACATACACCGCTTAGAACACACTCACAGATTGCTGAGTACACACACAGTCACAGACTGCTGAATACACATTCACAGACTGCTGAATACACGCACAGATACAGACTGCTGAATGCATACACACACACATACTGCATTGAGGGGTGCAGTGTATGTGTTTGTGTGTCTGAGGGGTGCTGTGTGTGTGTGTGTGGGGGTGATGTGCTGTGTGGGGGTATGGGTGCTGTGCTGTTATATTATATTAATTCTGTATCCCCCTTCCCTTCGGTGAAGGAGGGGGGACACAGCCATCCCTAGGAGTCCGGTGGTGGTAAGTATTGTAGGAAGCAGCTCTCCTGTCCTCCCATGTGATGCGGTGTGGAGCGTTGCCATGGTAACACGCAGCAACGCTCCACACAGCTTGCGCGCAGGAGGACAGGAGAGCTGCTTCCTAGAGCCCTCCCCCCGCCTCGGAAGCAGAGCAGGCGCCTACTCTGCAGACAGCCAGCGGCCCCCTCCCCCAGCGACCTATGGCCGCGTGCCCATAGAGAGGGCCTGGCGTGCCATAGGTTCGCCATCACTGGTCTAGGATGCCTTTGAGACCCAGTATGGCAGTGGTCATAACATTTCCACAATTATGGCACACCATTTTTGAAAGCAAGCATCCCAGGGTATTCCATTAGTAGTTATACCTTTATTTTTGGTTTTGCCTCACAAATGCATTCCCGTTTTACATGAAATTTCATAATCCAGATTGGGGTTTTAAAAAGTACGACCAGATCATTTTTTAGTTGTTATTTTACATCTGAATACTCTACCAGAAGTTGTTCCTGCCCTTTAGAGATGCATTATGGCACTGCAAGAAGAGGTTACAAAAAAAATATAAACTCTAATCCTATGAAGAAATGGAAAGGCATTTTAAACTTCCAGTTATCGTCGTGTGAATGTGTGTTGTCAGTGCCTCCTACCTATTCTGTGAAGGCATTCAGTTTGGCATACATTACACGAGCTCTCACATTTCATATCTAGACACATTAATGGCTCTGGAGAAATGCATGAATCTCTATAAAAGGCATGTTTATTTGCTCTCATTATAGTATATTCTGGGACATTATAAACGCAAAATTTTGGTTTTGCCCCCATTTTTCATGAGCTGAACTCAAAGATCCAAGCCTTTTTCTATGTACACAAAAGACCTGTTTCTTTCAAATATTGTTCACAAATCTGTGTTAGTGAGCACTTCTCCTTTGCCAAGATAATCCATCCACCTCACAGGTGTGGCATATCAAGATAGTGATTAGACAGCATGATTATTGCACAGGTGTGCCTTAGGCTGGCCACAACAAAAGGCCACTTTAAAATATGCAATTTTACTGTAATGAGTGGGGTCAAAACCAGTCAGTAACCAGTGTGATTACCATTTGCCTCACGCAGTGCAACACATCTCTTTCGCATAGAGTTGATCACGTTGTTGACTGTGGCCTGTGGAATGTTGGTCCACTCCTCTTCAATGTCTGTGCGAAGTTGCAGTATATGGACAGGACACATGCGGTCGTATATGCCGATCCAGAGCATCCCAAACATACTCAATGGGTGACATGTCTGGTGAGTATGCTGGCCATGCAAGAATTGAAATATTTTCAGCTTCAAGGAATTGTGTACAGATCCTTGCAACATGGGGCCGTACATTATAATGCTGCAACATGAGGTGATGGTCGTTGATAAATGGCAGTATCTCTGTGCATTCAAAATGTCATCAATAAAATGCACCTGTGCCCGTGGTCCATAACATACGCCTGCCCATACTATAACCCCCACCTCCACCATGGGCCACTCGATCCACAACGTTGACATCAGCAAACCGCTCACCCACACAACGCCACACACTTTCTGCCATCTACCCTGTACAGTGAAAACCGGGATTCATCTGTGAAGAGAACACCTCTCCAAACTGCCAGACGCCATTGAATATGA